GGTACCGCTCACTACCGCTCAATTCCTAAAGAACCTCTGCTAGCTTGCCCTTTCCTAAAGAATATCTGCTAATTTGTCCTTCCTTAAGAAACTACCCCTCTCCAGGAAATTTGCTGACATAGTCATCCCTGAATTTTCTAGTTTTTTTTTTTGCTTCCAAGCCCCTTCAAAATAGCCATAGATCGACGATCTGAACCTTCAATGGCCCTTTAGTATCTCCCTAGTGGCGGCAACTGTGAAATTTGAGTCACCCGAAAATGGGGAGGGCACCTTGAAGGCCACGCCACACATCCAACATCCAATTAGGCATCTGGGACTGTCCCCGGGGCTCAAAGATGCAAATTGCGGAGGACCTTACAAAGGTGTATGACGTACGTAGGCGTAAGTTACGGGCAGGGACGGATAGCAGAAATTCTTGGGGATGGAAGGGGCAGGCTAGCGCTGATTTTTTAGGAAGCCGAGGGCAAGCTAGCAGGGATTCTTGGGGAACTTCGAGGACAAACTAGTCGAGGTTCTTTAGAAATGTGCAGGCCGTTCAGCAGAGAATCCTGGGAAACGCGAGGGCAGGCTAGCGGAGCTTCTTGCGGAATCGCAGCAGATTAGCGGTGTATTTTAGTGCAAGCAAGGCATGCAGGCAGGGATTCTTGGGGAAAGTTCCGCTCACATTTACCAATTCCCCAAGAATCTCTGCTAGCCTCCCCATCGCCCTAACAAAATAACTACACTCCATTTGCTCGTGCAAAAAAAAACACGAAATTGCCTCTGCAGAGAAGTTCCGAAACGGGCCGGGAGGCTCGATTTTACAACCCAGGAGTCGGGCTATGAGCCTCAACCTTGACACGAGGCGATGCTTACTTGGTGGAAGTGTTCGCTTGGAATTTTTGGGAAGCCTGAGATTACGAGGGCGTTAAAATTTTTCGTCGTAGCATGAAAATTCTCTCTCTCTCTCTCTCTCTCTCTCTCTGTCTCTCTCTCCCGCCACTTCCCGGTCCCTTTAATCTTCCGCCCCAACCCCTTGAGACATTCCACAACATTCCTCCTTCCGTGTTGTGAATGCCCTGTGTCAAAGTTGTGTCTTGGACTACTCGCCGGCTCTCGACCTACAAGTCATTCCGTTACACACCTATAGACAGTCCGGAAATGCGGTCCATTTAGCGACGAGGTGCGTCCCATGCAAATGGAGGGGACTTGACCCTGATTATGTAAGAGGCGAGAGCAAGAGAGAGAAGGTGCGAGAGAGAGAGAGAGAACGAGTAACTTTCGCGAATCCAGGGCAACTTCGGTCAATGGCTTATTAGAAACGGTCGAGAAATGGAAAGGCGCGTGTCCCTTTAAATGGTTGGAGTGTGGAAAGTACGTGCTGATCCCAATTTACGCCCTTCGGAATGCAAAGTGGCTGGGATTCTTGGGTTTCGGGGCTGAACTTTGAGATTCAGAATCCAGTGGCGAGAGAGAAAGTGCGCGATAGAGATAGAGAGAGAGCGAGAGATAGAGAGAGGAAAGAAAACCGATATATCGTTTGCTAAATAATCTCCGCTAGATTGCCTGGAATGCCTGGTGCTCACCACCTTTCCTCAAACAACTCTGCTAGTCCGCCCTGTTACAAAGTTCCAATGCTGCCTTGCTTATAACTAAAACCCATGCTCAAACCGCGGAATTTCCGCAAAAATCACTGCTAGCTTGCCCGTCGGATTTAGTACTTTCGGTATCCCTTCAAGAACCTATGCTAGCCTGCCTATGTGCGTGCCTAAATATCACTCTATCTCTTTCTATTTCTCTCGCTTTCTCTTGCTCTCTCGCTCTCTCTCTTTCTCTCTTCCAAATCTCGAAACTCTGGCTACTTTCATTCCCTAACCTGCGAACCAGACACACGGGCCCAATTATCCACCTCCAGCCCCCCTGGGTGTTCCCTTAAAAGGGGCGGGGCCTGAGGAGAGAGAGAGAGAGAGAGAGAGAGAGAGAGAGAGAGAAGCGCCGCCTGGGGGTGGGGCCTTTTGACCCGAAACTGTAAGGTTCGATCCCTTGAGGTGGGGGGAACGGGCGTTCAGCCCCCTCCCTCCTACCTGGGATCAGCACCATTCAAGGCGAGAAGCCGTTTCGGTGCTTTCTGGTTATCTGATTGTCTGCTACAGTACATCTCTAGCCGTTTTAAAGGGGCATGGAAGACAAAATCCATAGACTTTTTATATCTAAGATAGCTAACGGTTGTCAATGTCCCTTTAAAGCCAGCGTGCCAGAGCGTTATGAAAATAAACTGATGGTGTCGTTTTCGACGCTGTGTAGACTCATCAAGAATCTCTGCTAGCTTGCCCGCGCCAGAGATTTCCAGTTCCCCAGGTTCCAAATGGTCTTTGCTAGCCTGCCTTTCCTTCGAAAATCTCTCTCTCTCATCTCTCTCTCTCTCTCTCCCTCTCTAACTCTATCAGGTTCTATATTTATCTAGCTGCCTCCAACTATCTACCTCTCCTTAAAGCGCTCTCTCGCGCCTTTTCCTTCCTACTTTTCCTCTTCCTTATTTTCCATTTCCTCAAAAGTCTTTGCTAGCTTACCAACTCCAATTTTGTCAAAATCTCGGATTCCACTAGGCCTGGAGCGACGAAGGCAGGGGGGACTCCCCCCCCCCCCTTATCACCTCCCACACGCGCCCTTGCGCCGTGTCCTCGGTAGTATAGTGGTGAGTATCCGCGTCTGTCACATGCGAGACCCGGGTTCAATTCCCGGCCGGGGAGAATCTTTTTGCTTTTTGGGTCTTCGATTGCTTTTGATACGTAGGATACTTGGCTTCAAACCTTAACCTTCTCTGAATGCGCCAGCCTTCCCAAATGGACTGTGCTATCTTGCCTGGATGTTGAATTTAATATCTTAGACCTTCCTGGGCAGATGATACAACACTTGGTAAATCTGCTTGGCTAGTTTACCCTACTTAAACCTGGATACCCCTCCTGAATGCGCAGACCGCTGGAATTTCCCAAATGATCTCTGCTAGCATGCCGCTTGACTCGATATTTTGTTTATCTAGCCTTTCCTGGGACTTCCTTGAGTTACCTCCTGTCCCCATTTCTTCGGCTCATTGCCCCGGGTGACCCTGAATTTGGAGGCATAGTCATGCTCAGCGTTTCTTTTAAGGGAAGCGTGCCGGAATCCCTAGGAATTTCTGGTTTCCGCGTTCCTGAAAGTAGAAATATATGCTTTAATTGCCAATTCCCGAGCTTTAAAATCGAAAAAATCGAACTAAGGTTTCATAAAATTCGAGTAGGTTTTCAATTGTCGGCCCCTTTAAAATGCGCAAAAACTGAAAAAAATGATGAATATCCAGACGACCCGGATTTTTAAAGACTCGAAAATCCGCGATAGTTACCGATTTTTGACTTCTGGGTCCCTTTAAAAGCTCAGAAACGATGGACGCTTAAGGATTTTCACTTGCGAATCCCTTTAAATGATCTGGAATCGCAAAAATTACAAGTATCCCCAGTGGATAAAACCGAAAACTGCTGGATTTCTGACTTCCGGAATTATTGAAAAAGTCCAAAATCCCAAAAATAGCAAATATGATGACTTCCTGGTGCCTTTAAAAATCGCAAGACCCAAAATCCAAAAATAACAGGTTGACTCACTCCTCGTTCCCTTTAAAACTTTTTTTCGCGTCTTGGGCACCTGCGGCCAGCATATTGACCTCCAGGAGTTTTTCCTTTTTATGGACTTCTTTTGAGGCCAGAGAGAGAGAGACAACGAGAGAGATAGAGACAGCGGTCATTCCAGATTTTTATTGGGTGTTGGACAGTAGCGGCGCGGACCATTCTCTAAAAAACCGAACAAAACCCCTATAGAATGCCCTTGGCTAGGGGTCCCGGCGCGCGCTCCCCCCTAGTGCGACGATACGAAATGATTGGCACCGTGCCAAGGCAATTTTTAAGGTTGTTAATGTCAATCATTTTCTGAAGGGGTTGAACCTGGTGATTTTGAGCGGGCATGGCTCCGGAAAGTTCCGGAATCAAAGAATTTAAGGGGCAGGCTAGCAGAGATCATTTGGGAATGGAAGGGGCAGGCTAGCAGAGATCATTTGGGAATGGGAAGGGACAGGCTAGCAGCGATCATTTGGGAATGGAAGGGGCAGGCTAGCAGAGATCATTTGGGAATGGAAGGGGCAGGCTAGCAGAGATCATTTGGGAATGGAAGGGACAGGCTAGCAGAGATCATTTGGGAATGGAAGGGACAGGCTAGCAGAGATCATTTGGGAATGGAAGGGGCAGGCTAGCAGAGATCATTTGGGAATGGGAGGGACAGGCTAGCAGCGATCATTTGGGAATGGAAGGGGCAGGCTAGCAGAGATCATTTGGGAATGGAAGGGGCAGGCTAGGAGAGATCATTTGGGAATGGAAGGGACAGGCTAGCAGAGATCATTTGGGAATGGAAGGGGCAGGCTAGCAGAGATCATTTGGGAATGGAAGGGGCAGGCTAGCAGAGATCATTTGGGAATTGAAGGGGCAGGCTAGCAGAGATCATTTGGGAATGGAAGGGGCAGGCTAGCCGGGACATCATTTGGGAATGGAAGGGGCAGGCTAGCAGAGATCATTTGGGAATGGAAGGGGCAGGCTAGCAGAGATCATTTGGGAATGGAAGGGGCAGGCTAGCAGACATCATTTGGGAATGGAAGGGGCAGGCTAGCAGAGATCATTTGGGAATGGAAGGGGCAGGCTAGCAGACATCATTTGGGAATGGAAGGGGCAGGCTAGCAGAAATCATTTGGGAATGGAAGGGGCAGGCTAGCAGAGATCATTTGGGAATGGAAGGGGCAGGCTAGCAGAGATCATTTGGGAATGGAAGGGGCAGGCTGGCAGAGATCATTTGGGAAATTTATCTCTTTTTTTATTACTTCCCTCTGTGCTCTTTCTTCATATTTTTGTTTATTTTTTGTACTTTCTTTATTACCATTTTTCAGGCAATCTCCTATAGAATAGCAGCCACATCAACTAGATAAATTTAACACCAAGAATTCCGCAATGCACCGCCTCGGCCAGCTGCTGCTCCTCCTGCCCAGCTTACTACACGCCTCCGTCCAGTTCGACAACTCCTTGACAGGTGCGTCGCAGAATTTTGGAGTTTTTGGATCCTAAATTGTCTCTGCTAGCCTGCCGTTTCCTAAAGAATTTCTGCTAGCCTGCCACTCCATCACTCGATTCCTGAATTCTCATTTGGCAGCCCGGGAGCACCAAATTGTTGTTTGTGGTGCTCGGCTGGTACCAGCAGGGGGATGAGGGCTGATCCGGCCGTGGCTCAATTCGCGCTCAAGGGGGGTTTAGGCGTGTCGTGGAATCGAACGGCTGGGGTCGTGCTCATATTAGGGACGCACGGGGTGACGCGGGGCAGGCTAGCGGAGATTCTTTAGGAAAGGGCAGGCTAGCAGTGATTCCTTAGGAGAGAGCCAGCACAGAACTTTCACTCGCTATCTCTCGCTCTCTCCCTCTCTCCAACTTTTTCTTTCGCTTTCCCTGTAAATTCTAGCCTTTCCCTACCCTTCGAGCGGACCATAATTGTTGGTGTGGTGTGGCCCCACCACAGGTGTTTCCCCTCGCCACGGATTTGGCCCATTTTCCCCTCTGTACGTTCAAAGTCAGACTTTCCCTTCTATGTCATGCCCGGATTTGAGGTGGCGCAAAAATAGGAGGGAGGCTAGCAGAGATTTTTTGATCTGAGGGCAGGCTCGGAGAGATCATTTGGGAATGGAAGGGGCAGGCTAGCAGAGATCATTTGGGAATGGAAGGGGCAGGCTAGCAGAGATCATTTGGGAATGGAAGGGGCAGGCTAGCAGAGATCATTTGGGAATGGAAAAGGCAGGCTAGCAGAGATCATTTGGGAATGGAAGGGGCAGGCTAGCAGAGATCATTTGGGAATGGAAGGGGCAGGCTAGCAGAGATCATTTGGGAATGGAAGGGGCAGGCTAGCAGAGATCATTTGGGAATGGAAGGGGCAGGCTAGCAGAGATCATTTGGGAATGGAAGGGGCACGCTAGCAGATATCATTTCGGAATCTAGAATCACCAAAAAATTCGAAAATTTCAGGTTCCCCGAAAATTCAATGCGAGCACGGCGCGATCACGCTCGATGTCTCAACGGAGAAGGGAGCACCATCTTACGTATTTGCCAAGAACCACTTCAACAAGGTAATTAAAGATAATCATATAAATAAAAGAACAACTGAAAATAAAATAAACGATTTTTAGGAAGGCTGCTCCTACCGTAACAGCACCCACGTCACCTTCAACTTTGACCGCTGTAATGTGAACCGAAAACGAGAGGTGGGACATTTTTGCTTTTCGAGCTTCAAGGGGGTGCTATTTTTTCTGATTATCCGCTGGCCTGCATCGAGGCTAGAAGGACCCGCATTTCCAAAATGATCCCTGCTAGTTGTCGTCGGTTCTGGTAGCACTTTGGGTTCGCAGGAATCACTGCTAGACAGCCCACTAGTCAAAACTCACTGCTGGCTTGCCCTGAGTCGGAATGGAAGGAATTACAAAAAATCATCTGCTAGTAGGCAAATTCCACAACAATCTCCGCTAGCTTTCCTTCTGGGTCGTCCAAAAGACTCACTGCTAGCCTGCCCATTCCACTACCTCAGCAAATCAGCTATAGCTCTCTCCCTCTCTCTCGGCCTCTCTCTTTTTCTCTCTCGCTCTTTCTCACTCTCGCTCCCTCCTCTCTCGTTTTCTCTCTCACTTGCTTTCTCTCGCTTTCTCTCTATCATGTTGTTCTTTTGCTCATTTGAAACTCTAGTTTCACTCTCTAAGGTGAGTCGCAAGCCTGAGGGTAGCGGTTGGGACAGGATTGCTCGGAAGGTGTTGAGTAGTACGCGGGAATCCGGAATGACGGTCTGTGGGAAGTCCCTCGGAAACCCCTTGAAACAGTCCATTCCCGGGAAGAGGGTCGAAACCCAGAGGGGAAGGAGGAAGAAGGCTCGATTCTAAAGGGTGACCTACCTATTTCGCACGCCCTAGACCCGGTAAGGGACTCGGGGGGTGAACTTGCATTCAAATTGGGAGACCGATTGGGGAGGCCAGCAGGGATTCTTGGGCAATCTTAAATTTATAGGGCGATGAGTAACTAGCCGAGACATTTTGCGCAAGTTGCAAGCTATCGGAGGCGTGCAAACAGATTCCTTTTGCGAAACAGAAGAGAACTGGGCATGCTAGCAGAGGTCATTGAAACTAGACAGAGTAGCGGAGAGCACTGGGTAATTTAAATAACCTAAGAACTCCGGCAAAGGCCATTTGCGGAAAGGGCAGGCTAGCAGAAACCATCTGCGGAACCCTGGAAAACCGCGCCAGAAAAAGGAGCCCGGGAAAGCTAGCAGAGATCATTTGCCCAGGCAAAATTGCTTAATTTCAAGGGCAGGCTAGCAGAGACGCTCGAGGAAATGAGCCCTGCCTTCCACGCCCCTTTAAAAACTCCCAATTCCGTTTCTTTCCGCTACACGGCCCGCCAACCGTTATGGTAGACCGCACAGTCTCGACCTTGAAAATCCCCCGGGGGCTAATTCGGGTCGAATAATTTCTTATGTGGTGCCCGGTGGTGCCCCAGAAAAGGGAAGAGAGCGAGAGAGAGAGAGAGAGAGAGAGAGAGAGAGAGAGAACGGTCTATAAACCGTGCTTTATGGCCGAAACGGGCCGAGGGTGCCGGGAAATGGGCTCTAAATGCCACTCTCGGCCATTACCTTTAATATCCTCGAAAAACGGGCCTTAAGGCGTGGAAAAACACGCGAAACCAAGGTCGGGCTAGCGGAGATTCTTTAGGAAAGGGCAGTCTAGCGGAGATCCCTTGCGAGCAAGTTGCGACTAGGGAAGCTAGCAAGGATTCTTGCGTAAAATCATCTATTCCAGGTTCAACCCAAGCGTGGCATGTCGTACTCGTTGACGGTGATGGTGCAGCTGCATCCGCTTTTTATTACGAAGGTATGTAGAACCCGATCTTATAGGATAAAATTCAATTTGTAACCCAAAATTGAAAATATATTCCACTTTCAGGTCGACCGCGCCTACCACGTCCACTGTTTCTACATGGAGACAGACAAATCGGTCGGCACGCAGATGAACGTCAAGTGAGTCGAGGGCAAGCTAGCAGAGATCATTTGGGAATGGAAGGGGCAGGCTAGCAGAGATCATTTGGGAATGGAAGGGGCAGGCTAGCAGAGATCATTTGGGAATGGAAGGGCAGGCTAGCAGAGATTATTTGGGAATGGAAGGGGCAGGCTAGCAGAGATCATTTGGGAATGGAAGGGGCAGGCTAGCAGAGATCATTTGGGAATGGAAAGGGCAGGCTAGCAGAGATCATTTGGGAATGGAAGGGGCAGGCTAGCAGAGATTATTTGGGAATGGAAGGGGCAGGCTAGCAGAGATCGTTTGGGAATGGAAGGGGCAGGCTAGCAGAGATTCTGAAGAAATTTTTCCCTTTCTGAAGACTGTACCTACTTCACTTTTTTCAGCGAGCTGCCCCCGCAAACGATCGACGAGGAGATGGAGGCCCCGGTTTGCCAGTACACCCTACACAAGGATTCTATTAACGGGCCGAATGTGCAGCGGGTGAAAGTCGGTAAGTACAAGCGATAGAAAGAGAGAGAGATAGCGAGCGAGAAAAGAGAGTGAGAAAGAGTGAGAGTAAGAGAGGGAGGATAGGGCGAGGAGTGAGAGAGACCAATGGGAAAGAGAGTGAGAGATGGCCGGTTTCTGAAAAGCAACGCGGTTTTGGAAAGCGAAGACCACTTCAGCCTCGCTTCTTGAGGCTAAGGAGCTGGAGCGTTAGGTTTTTGTGGGTGAAAAATTAGGGCAAGCTTGCAGGGATTCTTAGGAAGTCGGGGAAAGAAAATGAGAGAAAGAAAAGAGACAGAGCGAGAGAGAGAGAAAGAGAGAGAGAGAGAGTGAGTGAGAGAGAGATAAATCCTTGCGGGCGAACTGAGCCTGAGTTTTATTTTCAGGAGACCCAATCTACCACGTGTGGGAGTGCCCAACCGACGCATTTGCCATGCTCATCCACTCCTGCGTCGTCTACGACGGCCAATCCGGCAATCAAGTGCCAGTTATTGATGAGAATGGGTAATTTTTGGGCGTTTCTAGGTTTAATTTTTGTTTTAAAAGACCATTGAGGCCGACCCGGTATCGACCCTTTATCTCTACTAGCCCTCGACAGCTACTTGACGAGCTAAAAAGCGTTTTAATCTTGTTTTTATATCCGTAGAAATCTGGCTTTGGAGCAGAAACCAAATGGAAAAGTAGTTATCGTATAGTTGTCGAGACCTAGTAGACCTAGGGGTCGATTCTCAAGCCTACTAGTCCCTTTAAAGAGTCATAGAACTCAAAAAACACTATATTTTTTCAGCTGCTCCCTCGATCCATTCCTGATGCCCGAGTTGACCTACTCGAAGGAGTTGACCAAGACGTTTACGGTAGGTAAAAAATCAAGCTTAGGCAGAGGCTGAGGCTTGGGCTTAGGTTGGGCTTAAGCTTAGACTCGGACGTAGGCTTAGGCTTAGGCTTAGGCTTAGGCTGAGGCTTAGGCTTAGGCTTAGGCTTAGGCTTAGGCTTAGGCTTAGGCTGAGGCTTAGGCTTTGGCTTAGGATTAGGGTCAGGCTTAGACTTATGCACGGGCTTGGTTAGGCTGTGGCTTAGGTTGAGGCTTAGCTTATGCATACTCCCCTTTCAGCCCTCGTCCGCCTTCAACTTCCCGGACATCCAGCAAGTCTACTTCAACTGCAAGATCAAGCTGTGCCCACTTGGCCCCAATGAGAGCAACGATTGCAGCGGGATTACGGTAAGAAGATCAATTTTTAGGCAAAATTTTGGGTTTTTAGCCGCCTCGCTGTGGTGCCAACGCCAAGGCGAATATCATCACCGCTGGGACCAATGCGCTGGACGACTTCAACCCGCAAAGGCGTAAGTTGGATCGCTTAGGCTTAGTTTTGGGTTTAAGCTTAGGCTTAGGCTTAGGCTTAGGCTTAGGCTTAGGCTTAGGCTTAGGCTTAGGCTTAGGCTTAGGCTTAGGCTTAGGCTTAGGCTTAGGCTTAGGCTTAGGCTTGGGCTTAGGCTTAGGCTTAGGCTCAGGCTCAGGCTTAGGCTTAGGCTTAGGCTTAGGCTTAGACTTAGGTTCGGGTTTAGGCTTAGGCTTAAGTTCGGGTTTAGGCTTAGGCTTAAATTCGGGTTTAGGCTTAGGCTTGGGCTTAGGCTTATGCTTAGGCTTGGGCTTAGGCTTAGGCTTAGGCTTCGTTTTTAGCTTTGAACGGGCCGCGACACCCCGAGAATACCGTAACCCTTTCAGCCATCTCTGAAAGCAAGGAAACAGTCGACAGCTCCGAGAAGAAGACGGTAGATGAGGAACTTTCTACCGAGCATCTGATCCCCACCGCCAATTCCGCCAAGGTCAGCTGGTTTTCCGCTAAGTTCTCTGCTAGCTTGCCTAGAGCTGAGTACGAAACACTCCGTTTTAGACGACCGTACCGGAGGCTACGCACGTACAGACTACGGTGCATGACGTAACGGATGGAAAGACGACGATCGTGTTCCAGACGACGACCTCATTGCCGCCGGTTACGACGACACGGAGAAGTTCAACGACGACTAGGGCTCCTACGACTCAAGGTGAGAGATAAAGAAAGAGAGAGAGAGAGAGAGAGAAGAGAGAGAGAGAGTGAGAGAGAGAGAGAGCGAGATCGAGAAAGAGAGACCAAGACCATGTCCAACTTCCAGTGCTCCGAGCCGAAAAACCCTTCCCCACCCCGGCCGCCCTCAACGAGTTCTCCGCCAAGAAGTACAACGACACCGAGATCGTGGATGAGGGCAGCGGATTGGAGATCAGCTCCGAGCACGACGTGCCCACCATCAAGGTGCTGGCCGGCGACAAGAAGCCGACGGCAAAGGCCGGGCCTAGGCGTGAGATTAAGGTAGGTTTTGTTGCGAAAATTTCAACCTGGCTTAGATTTAGGCTTAGCTTAGGCTTAGGCTTAGGCTTGGGCTTAGGCTTAGGCTTAGGCTTAGGCTTAGGCTTATGCTTAGGCTTAGGCTTAGGCTTAGGCTTAGATTTAGGCTTAGCTTAGGCTTAGGCTTAGGCTTAGGCTTAGGCTTAGGCTTAGGCTTAGGCTTAGGCTTAGGCTTAGGCTTAGGCTTCATTCAGGCTTCGCACTAGCAATTGTTTTTTTCAGAGACGGGACACACCCCCAACTGTCGACGTCGACATTGCCTCACCCGAGTTGACCGTCCTGGACCGGGATTACGGTAAGGAATTGAGGAATTCGGCCTCAAAGGTGCTTTAAAGGCAATCGGCTGTGAATTTGGCCTTAATTTTCGCTTTATTGGCTTTTAAAGCCCAATTTTCAGACCTACCGGAGCCGTTGGGCCAGCACGGTCATCTGATGAGCACCAGCGCCCCGGCCGGCCCGCCAGCTGCTAATAATAATGTCTGCCTGCCAATGTTCTCCATCTGGGCCCTCGTGCTTTTGCTGGTAAGTGGAGGAAGAGAGAGAGAGAGAGAGAGAGAGAGAGAGAGAGAGCGAGAGAGAGAGCGACAAAATGGGACAACGAGCAGAGATTTTTCGAGCGATTTTAGCCAGGCATGCCACCTTAATTTTCACGAATCCGGGGCAACCAGCATAGATTCTCTGCTGTTTTTAAAGGCAGCTGGACACCTGGTTTTCACAAGTTCGGTGAGGATGAGCAGAGATTCTTTGAGATTTGTAAAGGAAGCTGGACAGCTCTTTTTTAAGTGAAGGGCAACGAGCAGAGATTTTTTAGAGAGTCTAGGTGGACGACAGCCTGAAAAAAAAATCGAGATCCTACCCTAATTTGCGCATTTTCAGGTGCTCTGCCTCTCCCTCCTGACCGTCGCCGTGTGCCGCACCTGTGCCCGACGCGACAAATTTATGCCGTACTAACGGTTTCCTGTTTTCCAGGATTTATTTTTTTCTTTTTTCTTTCTCTCGCCTCTCCGTTCTCTAACTTTCTCAAAAAGTTGTGCAATTCGAGCTACCAAGCAATGCAATCTCTTGACTTTTCAGCCCGCCAGCCTTTTTTGTAAGTTTTTCCAAGCTTTACCCCTTCCAAAAATTCCGCAAAAGCGATACGGTTCCCAAAAAAGAAATACATTCCACATTTTCCCATCTCTGCTATGATTTTTGCTTTTTTTAGAGGAATCAGGAAGGTAAAAAAATGAATTCTTGAATTTGAAAAAGCAACATTTAAGCGCCTTAAACCCTTTTTTAAAAGCTTTAAAATTTTGCACAAATTCAAAATTAAAGCAGGATTTTCATTCAATATTTCAGCCTTAAACACGCGTTTGAAAACTTCAAAATTTTGCTCTAAAGCTAAGATCTTAACATAATTTTAATGTACATTAATTTATTCGATTAAGTTTGAGCCAAATTTACAAAGATTAATCCAATTTTTGTCCCATGATATTCATTAGATCCTGAGAAGTTTCATGGGTATCTTAAACGCTTAAATTTTTCATATAAATCAAACCTAGTTGCCGAATTTAAACCACAAAATTCACCTACTTTTTAAAAATAGTATAAATTTATAAAAATAGTGTTAATCGATCAGAATTTGCCTTTTTGATTCCTCTATTTTCCCCGTCCAAACTTGCCTTTTCCCAAGTTTTCCCATTCTCATGAATTCCCCCAAAATCTCAAAAATTGCCCCAAAACATTCCAAAAGTCGTTTTATCTTTCTTTTGATCATATTGGCTTTTATTTGTGCTAATGCTAATGCAATAATCATTAACAAATAGCGAAATTGTCAACGGATTTCGTTAATTCTGTCCCAAAAACCCCGCGAATACGAGTGCGCCGCCCCGCCCCACACCAGAATTTCGCTGCCTTAGTTTTCCGTCTATATCAGCGCGAAATATGAATAATTCTATGTTTTATCACGATTTGCTCCGCGTTTATCTTATTTTATTCTACGTTATATTACTTTTGGGTGTTGTGTGTGTGAGAGTAATAAAATGGTTACTTAAAAACACCAGCAAAATACGAGCGTCGAAGAAAATCTAGCTAGAAAAATTTGTATGATATTACTTTAACTATTCGCTATTTTTATATATAGAAACTATTCCCTTACTTTTTTTAATAGTTTCAATGCATTTTTTTAACTTTTTTACTCGGCAAAGCCTTACACAATGAATTTCCCAACCCGCGTCGATAGGCGCGCCGCGTCGTCTACGTCCTTTTCAATGTGTCACGCATTTTTGTGTAAATAAAAGATATACAGTTTTAAATAGTTTTAATTTATTATATTGATTTGTAAGGTTGTTCTAAATGTTCCTTTTAATGTCTTAACAGACTTTAGAACCCTAGATGCTAATCCTTCCTTTTCCAGGCCGTCTCTAAATGATCAAGAAGCTGTTGTCGCCCGCGTTTGCAATACGAAGGTCCTTCCGCACATCGCCGTACCTCCAATCTACCAGCAATGAAGCGCCAGCAGCACCACCTGGGTCTCCGCCCGATTACTACACGCCCGGCATCAACGTCGATTTCGAAACGGCCCTAAAAGCCCTGCAGCCGACGCCAGAGTTCCTCGCCTCCCTCGATGCTAAACGTAAAAAGCACGTGGAGAAGCTGCTGGAGGAGTTGAAGCTGTACGTCTACATGGCCAACAAGGTACCTCGAAAAATGACGCCCCGGGATTGGGAGCAGTATTCGAACGAGCTCAAGCTGCCCACACTTCAAAAACGGGTGCAGTTTCTCGAGTTTATCGCCGTAAAACAGCGCCGCCGGTATAAAGACGAGCTCAAGGAGCAGCAGCGGAAGGAGGCCAACGTCGAGAAGTACAAGCAGGCTGACGAGGCCGAGAAGCGGATTGCAGCCGGGGAATATCGGACTGGACTTGGCGGGTACACGCTGATCCAGAACCCAAATGCCAAGCGAATGTCGGCAGTGATCGGGTCGAGATTCTACGCGGCCACGCGATCCGATCGCCCAATTATCGGGTTGGATTTGCAGTTTTTGCGGGATCCACAAGTTAGCCACGGGCAAATGATGCGCCAGGCCGGGATGTTTGTGGCAGAGGAGCTGGAAACAACATACCCGCTCAACATGCGGATTTTTAATAAGCCCCCGAACATCGACGACCTCCTGAAGAAGCACCTCGGCGAATTCATGTCCAGCTATCAGGACCAGAAATTCCTGCCGCCGCTCTCATCTGCGCCGCTGCTCGAGACGTTCGCAGACTGCCGGAAAATCGTCTATATCAGCAAGCATGCCCGGAAAATGCTGGAGGGTCCACTGGACGCAGATGCTTATATCCTCCCGGTGACCTTCGATCAGCGCAAGGAGTCTATTGGTGCATTTCGGGAACTTTTGAATCAAGTGTCGAGGCGGGGAAAGCATTTGCCGCCCCTCGATGTCGATATCCGCTTCTTCCCGCTGGAAAAGTACATGAAATTGTACGGGAGCAGATATGTGCCGATACAAAGCGCCGGCCGGATCTTCAAGGAGGTCTACACGAGTCGCGGCGATTGGAAGTCGGCCCTGTTCAACCACATTTCCAAGGTGAAATACACGGAATCGAATTCGGAGGAGCGCGGCTTTTGGTATAACCAGCAGAGCAGCTGGAAGCGGCATAACAAGGAAGAGCGCGTGCAGATTGCCGATACTATCAAAGAAGCGCTAGGGCAATAGCCGTGATTGTTTTCTATCTATACCCTCTTTTTTTCTATTTTTTCCTGATAGAATTCCTATCCTAGGACGTTGAGTGTTGTTCAGCGCACTTTTTAGCCAATGTAGGATTTAGATATAGTATCATTAGCTTCACTTCCTTGTTATTTGCCCCCATTTGTTAATTGTTGATGATTTCGGGTTTTCCTTCACGTTGATCCTGCTCCGAAACTTGAATTTTTGCATAAAATTATTTTCAGGAGCAATGGCAGACGAGCCCAAACGCCAGGAGACCACTTCTGAGGATTCCGGAGCCGATGAAAGGTTGTAAATGTCTGCATTATTTATATCTTGCCTTTTTTAGAATAGCCGAGCCAGCTTCGAAGATCAAGAAAGAAGAGGAACAAACCAATGTAAAGGAAGAGCCGCCGAAGAAAGTCGAGGAACAAAAGAGGTAGTTTTTATATTAGAATAAATTTCTTGGCCTTTGATGTTAGTATAATTTTGTTTTAGTAATATGCCGTTATCTTTAAATTCGAAACGATTTAGAAAAAAAACTTTAAAACTAAAAACTTTTTAAAAATTTGAAGTTAAATTGTTTTGTTTTAATTTAGAAATTCCTAGTGACTTGATAGGAATGATTTTCGTAATGTTTTTAGTAAAATAAAACCAGTTTATAACTAGAAAAACTATCTAAAATCTTTAATAAATTTCAAAAAGCTGAAATTTGCTCGAAAGATCGATATTTTTAACAACAACTTGTAAGATTTTTGCGTTTAGTACCCGAGAACAAATTTTTCTCTCCCCCCCCGATAATGCGAAAGAACCGATTAATCATTTTTTTACAGCACCACGTCGGCCGCCCAAGTATTCCACGACGAGGTGGAGATTGAGGATTTCGAGTTCGACGACGACGCTGGCGTCTATCATTACCCCTGCCCGTGCGGCGATCGTTTTGAGATTACGCAGGAGGCTTTAGAGGTAATAATTTCATTTTTAGAGAATTTTTGTCTTTTTCAGGGCGGCGAGGACATTGCCACGTGCCCCTCCTGCTCGCTGATCGTGCGCGTCATCTACGAGCCGGACATGTTCATGAAGTTCGAGACGCTCTCCATAGCGCCGGTGAAGAAGTCGGAAGTAGCTTGAGGGGCGCCGCTGAAGAATGACGATCACAATTTCACACAATCGCAATTTTCTGTTGATGATTGCGATTTTAAGATGTGGTTTTTGGATGCTCTAGCGGCTATTTCATTAGACGCTTTTTTTGAGGATTTTTAGATGTTTTTTCTTGATTTTTTTTAACCCCACGTATAATTCTGCTAAATTTCTATTGCTTTCCCACGCCTATTCTCTTTCTACGGGTATCGAATTCTGTTGTCCCATTATCCGGTGGCCTTTTCCGAGTTTTTACTTGCTTTTTTCGTGTTTTCATTCTCGCGTTGTTTGCTGATAAATATTTTGCGATTTCAGGTAAGGACCTGCCTCCAGTCGCGATGGAGGCCGACGAGTATTTCCGGGCCTATGAGGCGATGAAAGAGGTGGGGGAACAAGAATTGCCGAAAAACAATAGATTTTTAGGAAGAAGAAGCCGGATGCGCCGAGCGACTGCCCCTCAAAATCAGCGACCCGTGCGGCATCACGAAAATCGTGTGGAGCTCGTTCGATTTTATGTCGGGTTGGTTTGAATTTTGGCTTAAAAACTATAAGTGTTGAGTAGATTTTAAAAGAGTACACTTTTCGTAGCTCCGATGGTTGTTCTGCTTTAAAAATAGTGAAGCTTTATTGAGTTCATTTTCCGCCGAAAATAAATCTTTTTGATCAACTTCGGATGTATTTTTTTATTTTTTTTTTCGCATGAAAAACGGCAATTTTCAAAAAAGACCTTACAAAAAACTTCCGATAACGAAAAATAAATTAAAGCGACAATTATAGGTCCTGCATTAAAATACGTGTGGGACGTCGTCCACAACGACGGCCTGCTGACGCCCGTGAATTTGAGCGGTGAAGAGGTAGGATCAAAAAATGATGCTCATCACCGCCGTTCTAGTTTTCTGAAACGCATTCCCTCAACGGGTCGTCCCTCTCGGCGAATTCGGTGCAATTTGAGGATATCGACGACCCGCTGAAGGTGTGTTTGACGGGGAATGATGCAAGTTTTTGCTGGTCTTTCGCTAAATGATGTTCAGCACCAACTACTCACCACGTCGGATGAGATCCAGATCGACACCGGGTTGGACATCTACAATTCGTCTCCAATTTGTAAGTCGGCTAGCGAGTTGACAAATAGAAATTCAATTTTAGTAACTTTCAAGGGCGGAATGGGCCAGTTTTTGGACGACTACATGACGGATAGTCGGAGCACGGCGACGGAGGGGACTAATACGATTGCAAATACGTCGATGATTGTGGGTCTTCTTGGTGTAATTTAAGTATTTTTCGTTGAAAAAATTAGAAAATGTGCAGAAGTTTTAATTGTCGTTGAAAATCGCCGATTTAATCGTAAAATCTATTTTTTTTAGGGATACATAACGAAGCTTTATAACTTTTTTATGTTTATGAATGGCCAAAATCCTGTAGAAACTTTCTATTATAGTAGAAAAATTGGATCCTGAGCAAAAATAAGGAAAACTCAGAAATTGAGCTATTTAGGAAAGCGAATCGAGCGGGATGCTTGACGAAAGTGGCTCTAGCTTCGAACTGCGGTCTCAAGCGTCGAAAAGTCGAGGGGTGGGTTTAGGACGAATTAAAAATATAATAGGATAATAACTAAGCAATATAATACAAAATCAAAATCATGTAACATCGAAAATTTTGAAATAAAATACCAACAACTTTCAGAGCACGCTTACCTCACCACAACACGACTCGCCAAACCAGTCTTCGCCTGTGGATCCGGTCGTGGAAGAACTGCATCCGGTACGTACTTTTTAAAGCTGAGACTTATAAACTTTTCAGTTGTGGTTAAAAATGCTTTGAAATATTGCAATTACGATGAAATCCTATCCTATAAGCGAGAAAAGTATGTGTGTTTTCTGTCCGGGCGGTTTCTCGGCCGTAAGGCCGAATTTCCGGCTGATTTTTGGCATGGAGGTGGAGAAACACCTTCGCCAAAAACGGTTTTTTGGGTTTTTCGAATTTCCTTCATTTAACAATTTTACAAGCAAAAATGTAAAAAATCCTTAACAAAGTGGGCGACAAGCCGTGGTGTTCAGGCCATAACTCGAAGCCCTGACGGAAATTCGGTCTGTAATTTGCACCACTTATGTATTCGATGGTGGGGATCACGCGCATCTGATTATCTTTACACATTTTCTGCGTATTCAGGCTCATAAATGGAATTTTGTAAAGTGACCAGTAGGTCTCCCTCCCGGAATCATTGGGGCGCCCTTTTCTTTGTGCGGCTCCCCTGGACACAAGAGGCATTTCCCGCTGCCTGTTCCCATCTCTCCCGTGGCGTAGTGGAACTGCGCCCGGCCTACCACGCGAATGGTCGTGGTTCGGATCCTGGCGCAATATAATTTTTTTGCTTTTTGGTGGTTCATCGACAGAACATATTTATAGGCTCTCGGTGTGCGAGGTTTAAGCATGGCCCTCGCTCTAGCCCCGCAGGCCCAGAAAAGCTCCTGGCCCAGGCAAGGATGGGTCTTTGAGCCAGGCTCTCGCGCCGCAGGCCAACGACAAGTTCCTTGACTCACGCTCCAGCGCCGCAGGGCGAAGGAAAGGCCCTTGGTCAAGGCTCTGGCGCCGCAGGCCAATTCCCGGTGAAAAACCAGTCACTAGCGCCGCAGGCTCAAAGATTTTAGCGCAAAGCTGGCTCTGGCGCCGCAGGCCACAGCATCGGTGCTTTAATCAGGCTCTGGCGCCGCAGGCTAGAAAAAAAGAAAGTTTTCGTATTCATGGTTCCTGGACGGTGTCCAGTGGAAAAGGGCCGCGAAGCGGGCTTTTTCCACTGGTTGTGCAATAAAAACAATAATAAAATTTCTAGGCCTCCGAACCTGCGACTGTATCGACGTCTCATTCGAGCGGAAACACGGTATTGAGCCGCCCGGATCCGGAAGCGCCGCCATTGATTCGGCGGGCCGATTTCATGGACGAATCGGTAGAAGGGCAAGCCGGCGATGAGTTCTCGGATGAGCAGGATGGGAATAGGCTTCCAGGTAGGACGTTGGAAATGGTGTTTGCTAGCTTGCCCCTGAGAGAGAGCGAGAGCGTGAGAGAGAGAGAGAGAGAGAGAGAGGGAGAGGGAGAGAGAGAGAGAGATAGAGAGCGAGAAATACAGAGAGCGAGAGACAGAAAATTCCAGAACTAATGTCCTGCTTCGACTCGGGCATCGCCGGCACCACCTCCACCCACTCGGATCTCAGCGCCTTCTGCAACTCACCTGCCGCCCAGGCCACCGAGAAGCTGCTCGAGCTGTCGATTATGGAGAACAGCATTTTTAAGTATGACTTAGACAGTTAAAAATTTTGTTAAGATATTTTAAAGCCATCATCTTCAGCGCGGAAACGAATTTTTTACAGGTTCTTTGGCGTTATCGGGGGGGGGGGGGGGGGCATTTTTTCTTATGAAATTCTTTTTTCTTTGTCAATCCAATTTTTCAAGTTATTTTTTTACGATTCCTAAACGTGAAAAACTTACTAATATTTTTTAAAGAATATCCAAAATATCGATTTTTGACCCAAATTTCGATTTTCAAGGTTTGAAAGTTTTTAGATGGTTTTTCTAGTTCAATTTTAGGTAGATTTTATGAAGACCACTATTAATACACTTGTTATTGAATTATTAAGCATTTTTAGACTATACAAACAAGTTCGTGCCCTCCCCGCCCCCGATAGTGCGAAAGAACGTTTTTACATTGTTAAAAATTTAGATTTTTAGCAGATTTACAATTAAAAAAAAAACTTTTATGCCAAATTATATGTAAAATTGACAATTACCTCGATTTAGAAAGCGATATTCGACCGACGGGGAGGAGTCCGAGGTACACCTCGACCCGCCCGACGACCAGCCCTCCGACGAGAGCTTCATCGCCAAGTTCGTGCTCGCCGAGCAGATTTGCAGGTGCGGATCACTTTTGGCGCATCCGGTTACGCAATGGAAATGCTAGAAAATTGATAAAAGACCTTGTCGGTTCCTTTAATAATTTAGCCATTTTAGCACTCAACTCCCCTCAAATCCGCTGATTGTCAAAATTACGTGCGTGCCAGATCGGAGGTAATTTTGAAGAATTGCGTTACTTTAAATCATGTTATGCAAATTATACCTTAAATACTACTAAAAATAGTATTACATAAAAATAAATGAAATATAAAAGGAAAGTAAATAAAGATTAGAAGCCATTTTATTTCTTTTAATTTTGAGTTTTATTTAACTTTGTAATTAATTAATTAACGGAATTCACATATTTTAGCAGTTAAAAATAGATGTAACTAACCCTAATTAAAAATTGCACCTTAAATACTGCTAACAAAATTAGTATTATAAAAAAGTACAGAAATTTGAAAGGTAAATAAAAAATTCGAATAAAATGTTTATTTCTTTTAATTTTTCGATCTGGTTAAGTTTGTAATTAATTAATTACCGGAATTTACATAACTATCGATTAAAAACGTATTTACCCAACCCAATTGAAATGATTGTTAGCCTCCTCGCCGTCTCGTTCCTTTTCTCGCTCCCGTGGGTGGATAGTGATGAGGACATGCACACGATGAACGCCTTCTCGCTGTTGATGGCGCATAAAAAGTAAGTATTTTTAATATTCTTAATAATTCATTTGCAATTACTTTTAATACAAATTAATATTTTTAAGTACAAGTGAATTTTTAGACTCGAATGGTTCATGCAACGAGAGCAAGTTTTCGAGGGCATCATGTCGGACATTGTACCGCGCATCAAGGCGTCGTTGTTAGAGGTAAGGGCAGGCTAGCAGAGCTTCTTTAGGAAACGCCAGGCTAGCAGAGATTCTTTAGGAAAGGGCAGGCTAGCAGAGATTCTTTAGGAAAGGGCAGGCTAGCAGAGCTTCTTTAGGAAACGCCAAGCTAGCAGAGATTCTTTAGGAAAGGGCAGGCTAGCAGAGATTCTTTAGGAAAGGGCAGGCTAGCAGAGATTCTTTAGGAAAGCGCAGGCTAGCAGAGATTCTTTAGGAAAGGGTAGGCTAGCAGAGATTCTTTATGAAAGGGCAGACTAGCAGAGTTGTTTTAGGAAAACGCTTTTTCTTATTTTTATTTTTGCAGGAAGACTTCGAGGACTCGATCATCCGCATGACCACCGAGTTCACGCACCTCCTGAACTTCTTCGGGTCGCTGGAGCGCTACCCGTTGTTGCCGAATGGCATTCTACCGAAGGTAGTTGGTTAAAAAAATCGTTTTAGTAATCACAAATCTACTATCCTACTATATATAAAAAAATAGTGTCTGTGTGTGTGTGTGTGTGTGTGTGTGTGTGTGTGTGTGTGTGTGTGTGTGTATGACACTTTGCATGCAACTTCCGTCAGCGTGTCCGGAGGATATCTCAAGAGGGGCAGGGATGAAGGGGGCGTATGATACGTCATTAGGTGCGTAATGGTCTATACAGGGTGGGCAAAAAAAAAAGATCCGAGTTTGGGGCAGAATAACTCGCGAACGGTAGAGAATCGAAGGTGTGTTACCATGCCAGAATGCTTAAATATGCTGGGTATGAAGATTTAACACAACTTGATTTTTTCGATTTTTGGCGACGTATCAATACAAATGACACCCGAAAAATGTGCGTTCCGGCAAAACTTCGATTGCATTTTTTGGGATTGCTGGTGGTCGAATGTTTGCAGTTTTTACAGTGTGGGTACCTAAGGACTGCCCCTACGCACATCCGGAATTTTGGAATTTTTGAAGGTCAGGTTGGCAAGTTATAGCGTGCTCAAATTTAATATGGAGAAATTTCGTAAATTTCGAATATTACAAAAACCTATGGTGGAAGCCTCAGAACAAGCTTTTTTAGCCCGTCTATAGGCTCGATACAATCCCGCAAAAATATCAAAAAAAATTTTCAGATCCGCGGATTTTTGAGTTTTTCGACGACCCCCTGGTCATGGATTCTTTCGAGGTCACGAAACCGAACTTTGGAAAAATATTTCTAAAATTGCAGATAGAATTTCGGTGTTTTCTCTGCTTGGTTGTGTAGCACTGGGGTCCATCCATCATGTACACAATTTCTAGTTACCGTACCACTTTGGAAGGGTGCCTTTTAGCGCCTCCAAAACGGTTGGTTCGTGCTATTTCGCAGATCTTTGTGCCAGTCTATGAAATTAAATTGCGCGGCTAGAATTATTGTCATAATTTTATTTAATACTGCTTAATGGGCGCATTTTAAAATTATATTTACAAATTTGTTGGGCCATCCGATCTTTCAAAAGAAATTCATGAAAAGTCCAAATATACCCGAATTCGAGGCGACGTAAAAAAATTCTCGAAGCCATAGTAGCCCCGACTTTTCTGGCATAGATCAAGCTTGGATAGTCAACTAAAACGCATGCAAATACAAAAGCTTTTCATGGCAAACGAATTTAGAAGAGCTCCCCAAAGTCGGCTTTTCAAAAACGTTAGTTTGGGATCTTAAATCAAAATTAACCATTAACTTCAGCCAGATCATTCCAGAATTCTGCTCTCATACACTGTTCGATGCGTACTTTAATTGTATCCACGAAAATCCGATGACTTTTTCATTTTCAAAAATTCGGTTTTCGGCCCGGGGCCTCGGGTCCAAAATCGGGCTCAGAGGAGGGTTTGACACTTTCCCTCATAACTTTGTCATTTGCCACAGGAGTCCAGTAATTTTTTGTAGGTGCTCTTACAATCGTTCAGTGAACAGTCTAGAATAGAAAAATTGGCATTTTATGGCATTTTGTCTTGGCATGCTAAAACGCGCTCCAGGCGGGTTACTGTAGAAAACAGAAAATCGCCGTTTTCTCGCTCTTTTCACCATAGAAACGTTTCGATCTTTCAGGAAAACAAATAATAGCAGTTTTTAGTCCGATGCATCAAAATATTTAGAAATTTCCGTGGCTAAATTCAAAAATAAGTTTTTTGCATATTTTGGGAAGGTATATGGCTAGAACTCCACGGTCTTTGGCCAATAGGTGACCCTTTTTGGTGTTTACCAATGATAAAATTTTAAGCGAAATCGCAGCTTACAATAAAAAGAAAAACGCGGAAAACGAAAACTACAGTATCCCTCTGGGGCACGTTTTAGCAAGCAATATTAAAATACCATAGAATCAGGTAAAATTTGGTGTTGTGCTAAAGATTATCATTCGGCGACAACATCTGCAAAAAATCAGCCATGGGCAGCGTATTTGAAGAGAGTTGCGAATTAAAATGTCAAAAGATACAAAATAGTGAAATTTGTTTTGCTTGTAAAAAAAGAACTGGAGCTTAAAAAATTCTAAGACTTTGCTATTATTTTTCTACAAATGTCAACTATTTATAGGAGAAAACTCAGAATTTTCCCACCACCCGTTCAAGAACGCACAATTTTCGGTCGTAACCAGCGTCAATAGTACAGTTTCGTACCCAAAAATCGAAAAAATCAAGTTGTGTTAAATCTTCATACCCAGCATATTTAAGCATTCTGGCATGGTAACGTACCTTCGATTCTCAAAGATAAGCGAGATATTTTGACCCAAACTCGGATCTTTTTTTTTTGCCCACCCTGTAGATGACTGCACGCATATCAGATTTTGCAAAATCGGTTATTTTCGACATTAAAATTTAGTTTTTCCTTAAAAATCGGACATTCTCTTTGTTAGGAAAAAATTAGCATATGCCGGAAGTGGGGGTAGCCTATATAATCGGGGAGAGGACCCGTTTTTCATTTTTTTGGACATAAAAGTGCGAAAGGATTATGCAAAGCGAGGGATATCGTAGGGTTGGACGGGACCAGGGTTGAAAAGCCGCTTCGCTTCTACTTTATATAAATTTCTAATGTCCGTCTGTCCGCCCGCGTCCAGGAATTCAGCCAAATTCTGCATTCAAATTTCAAATTCAAATTGGGGGAGGGTAGATATATCCTACTATATATAAAAAAATAGTGTCTGTGTGTATGTGTGTATGACACTTTGCATGCAACTTCCGTCAGCGTGTCCGGAGGATATCTTAAGAGGGGCAGGGATGAAGGGGGCGTATGATACGTCGTTAGACGCGTAATGGCCTGTAGATGACTGCACGCATATCAGATTTTGCAAAATCGATTGTTTTCGACATTAAAATTAAGTTTTTCCTTAAAAATCGGACATTCTCTTTGTTAGGAAAAAATTAGCATACGCCGGAAGTGGGAGTATCCTATATAATCGGGGAGAGGAAGCGATTTTCATTTTTTGACATAACAGTGCGGAAGGATTATGCAAAGCGAGGGATATCGTAGGGTTGGACGGGACCAGGGTTGAAAAGTCGCGATGCGGCTTTTCAACCCTGGTACATTTTTTAATTCGTTCTTCAGGTCCGCCAAACACTGCTCTCCGGCGTCGAGTTGGCCGACAACAAGCTGTTGACCAGGGTTAGTGATTAGGCATAGGTTTGGGTTTAGGCTTAGGCTTAGGAATAGGCTTAGGCTTAGGCTTAGGCTTAGGCTTAGGCTTAGGCTTAGGCTTAGGCTTAGGCTTAGACTTAGGCTAGGCTTAGGCTTAGGCTTGGCGTCCTGAACCCCACAAATTTAGGCAATTTCCGGCGTGCTTCAAAGCCAGGGCTTTTGCGTGGTCATTGGAGATGATCCCGCGGCGGTGGCAAAAGTAGGTTAACTCCATGCATGCTAGAAAGTGTTTCGAAATTGTAGATGCTCCACACCTTGGCGCTGTTCATCCCGGCCGAATTTCGGTGGAACTGCCTGCGCTCGCAGAATGGGCCCTACTCGCCGTATGTACGGCTGCAGACGGTACCAAGGGTTGGTTTCTCTCACTCTCTCTCTCTCTCTCTCTCTCTATTTTCTTATTAAACCCTGAATTTTCAGCAAGAACTCCCCGAAGTAGTGCTCCATGGCGCTGGCTGCGAGTGGCCACTATGCCTGGTAGACTTGGACCGGAAAAAGGTCTGCCTCTCGTCCAGCTACTCAAAGCATCGACTGCTGAAGCGCAAGGTGAGCACAAGATTTTAGGCTCAGTCCTAGGCTGACGCTCAAAGGTCTTAAGATCGTGTTATCTAGTCCGCGCATTCAGCTCGACCTCCACGGCATCCAGTCAATCCTTGAGCAGCTCGGCCCGGCCTCCCGGAGCAAATTCCGGCTCGAGCTCAGCCCGGTCAAGACGATCGAGTGCGTGCGATGGCTCGTTCGCCACCTCGAGCTCCTTCCGCCTGAAGAATCGGCTAGAAAGGTGAGGCCTTCTCTCTCTCTTTCTCTCTCTCTCTCTCTCTCTCTCTCTCGCTATCTCTCGCTTTCCAGGGACTCATCAACCAGTTTCTCCTCTTCATCAAGAATTCCGCGCTGGCGCTGATCGAATCCGTCCGGGCGTCAAGGTGGGTTTTTCGAGCTGTCGCTATCCCTTTAGGACTACAAGCTATAGTACCCAACTATCAGCATGCCCTTAAAAATCCAACTTTGATTTTCAGCGAGCCACTCCCAAACGAAAAAGAATGCGGCGCTCGCTCGGCCCAATTCTCCCTCTCCGACGTCCGCAAATCGCTCGACCTGACGAACGACGGCCTCTTCCACGCCGTCCTCGCCAAGGCCGAGCTGCTGAAGCCGCAGATCGCCGAGTTCATCTACCAATAATCTACACATACTTTGCACAAATTTGTATATCCTGTCCCACCCCGCACCTCGCCAAGCTTTATCTCTTTCTGCGACCGATTTTGGTTGTCTCCCCCCTCTCTCATCGCGCTATCCCAAAAGAGACTCTCTAGTCGCTGATCTATCTCTTTCTTTCGTTTCTATCTCAAAGCTACTATTCCCATTTTATCGCTCGATTTCTTTATCATTTTTACATTGGATTTTTTTTAATGTTTCTGATCGATGAAACCCCCTGAACCTGTTCGTGATGATGTTGTGTGCCTTTTCCCATACTCAGTTCGCCTCCAAAAACTAAAACGTGTCCCCCCGGCCTTCCCCCAACATTACCTAGCAAAATATGAGTTTTCTTGTGCCTTCCGATTATCAATTTTGGGCAATAAAGTTTTATACCTGTACCTAAGCCTAAGCCTCAGCTTGGCTTACTTCAGGAGTCTGCTTAGCTAGAAGCCCAGCCCAAACTCCCTCAAAAATAAGCCAAGCCTAAGCCTAAGAATGCGCGAAGTCTGGCTTCAATCCAAGCCAAGCCTGAAGGGAAACTGTAGCCAAAAAGCCGACGTACGCGGGGCCCTACGCCTTGCACCAAGCTAACCTAAGCCTAAGCCTAGAGCTAGGCCTAACTCTAAGCCTAAGCCAAGCCTAAGCCTAAGCCTTTCCGAAAGCTGTTCATGATGCAATCACTGACTTCCGCGCTTTCAATATTGTACTCCCTGCACTTGCTGTAACGCTACGACTACAGAATCCAGACGCCGGGGGTTTAGAACTCGACGCTACAAAACAGAATCCGGCACAACACGGCCGTTTCGGCCGTCTCGGGCACAAAGCACACAAAAGAACGTCTCGGCAAACAGATGGAAGGGGGAAACGGGTTCAATGGCCCGGCAGAAGAAGTGGAAAAAGAAGGAGGAGAAGGAGACAGTATTACCCGGGATTGCATGTGGATTATTTTGCTTGCTTTGCTTCTTGCTCGTTTGCTTGGACTTATGGAGTTCAATTTTTTCAGCATATAATTTTATCAAATTTTTGATTACGCGTTTCCCATCCAGTATTGAACGGCTTCGTAACGCTGGAAATCGGAGAACCTAGCCTGCGAATTTTACATCGCGCCTTATCAAGGCGATTGCCCAAAGTTTCGTGACGTTGGGAGGGAATAAAATACTCGCAACAAATCAGAGATTCTATTATCTCTCTCTCGCTCTCTCTCACTCTCTCTCTCACGCTGTATCTCTCGCGATTTCTCTCTTACTCTGCCTCTGTCGCTCACTCTCGCTATATATCTCGCTCACTCTTTCTCTCTCTCTCTCTCTCTCTCACTCCTGCTGGCTCTCTCTGATTATAGGCTATCTCGCAAGGTTGGCGAGGGAAAGGGAAAGAAGGATAGAAGAGAGCCAGAGTGAGAGTGAGGGAGAGATATAGCGAGAGAGAAGAGCGAAATGTAGAGAGAGAGAGCGAGAAAAAGAGAGAAAACGGACCCGTGATGCCGATTCTACAGAATGTGAAGATCGGCATTTGTGAAATCGGTATTATGAAAAACCGCATTCTGTCCAAATTGGCATTATTGTAACGGCCATTGAGGAATCCGCGTATCTAAAATCCTACTATATATATATAAAAAAACAGTGTTTGTGTGTGTGTGTGTGTGTGTGTGTGTGTGTGTGTGCATTTGCATGCAACTTCCGTCAGGGTGTCCGGAGGATATCTCAAAGGGGAAGGGTATTAGGCTACGTATGATACGTCATTAGGTGCGTAATGAAGCCGAGATGACTGCACGCATATAGATTTTGCAAATTATGCTATTTTCGACATTAAAAATCAATTTTTGTTAAAAAATCAGGGAGCCTCTTTGTTAGGCATTAATTAGCATAGACCGGAAGTGACGGCAACCTATATAACGGCGAAGAGGGTGCATTTTTCATTATTTCTCATCGAAAAATGGCCGAATTATCCAATGTGCAGGATATCATGGGCTCAGACGGGGCCAGGGTTGAAAAGTCGGGAAGCGGCTTTTCAACCCTGGTCGGTATTATAATAATCGAGATCGTGAAAATCGGGATTATGAAAATCGGCATTATGTAAGTCAATTTTCGCGCTTCCTAGTCCCTTTAAAAACCACCCCAGACAAATTGTTTTGTCTGCCGATTTCAACCCGCCGTCGGACCCAATTTTGGATCAGAAAAACGGAGACCACGGCCAGTTCCCGGCTACGTTTCCATAGTAATGTAGCGGAAGGGTGGTGCGGGTGCTTTCCCCACCTTGGGGGGCTACACAAAAATATGCACGCGCGCTGTGGGGGTGTTTTGACGGCTTCATGCCATGCGCCATCGGCACGGGCCCAATTTGTTTTCGCCGTCCGGAAAGTCGGCGTGCACTTTTGATCAAAAAATTGCGCCCGGTGTCTTCTTTTCGGTTGATTTTGGCGGCCATTTTGCCGATTTCCTGTCGGCTCCTCATCTTTTACCCTTTTTCGTGCATTTTTTAAGTTACCGTATTTTTCTTAGTTTTTAGTTACTTTTTGCTGGGTCTAGAAATGCTTAATAACGTAATAGTAATTAATTTAATCGTGTTTTTTTGTAAAGTTTAGTTATATTAAAGTGCAATACTATGGAAAAACGCAAAAGAATTTGAAATTTTGGTCGAAAATCGGCCATTTTGTTCGAAAATCGTAAATTTTTGCATTTTTGCACTTTGCAAAAAAAAAATAGTGAAAACTCTTTTCTATTTTATTAAAAACCTTTATTATTTATAAGATTTATTGATCCCCCGATAATGCAAAAGTACAACAACTGCGCTGCGCAATTTATTCGAATATCTATGTGGCTCTCTCTGATCTCTCTCTCTCACACTAGCTAACTCTTTCTCTTGCCATGTCTCTCTCGCTCTCTCGCTCTCTCCCCCTCTCTCCCTCCCCTCTCTCTCTCTCTCTCTCTCTCTCTCGCTTCCTTCTCTCGCAACATTTTCAAAATTTGCATCCAACACCTATTTTTGGCGAATTTTTTGGCCTCATAAATCATCTGCATAAAAACCGGAGCCACGATTGATAGAGGCGATAGAACGAATCCCACCCCCTCCCTCCCTCTCTCCCTCAAATATTTGCAAGCGCTATAGAACGCGGCAAACGCCGAGTCCGTGACGCACCTATGGACGCGTGGAAATGGCCGTTTCGCACAAGTACGGATTGAACTAACGACGAAGCCGGACTATGTTGAATTGTGCAATTTTTGGAAACTCGGCGCCGAAATAGGGCTAGCATCAGACGTATGAGAACAGCGAGCGAGGGAGCGAAATAGAGAGAGCAAGATAGAGAGGGAGAGAGAGTGAGAGAGTGTGAGAGAGATAAAAATAGAGAGAGATAGAGAGCGAGAGTGAGAGCGAGAGAGAATGTGATGTCTAAATTCCAGGATCTCGAAATTCCAGAATGTGGAAATTTCAAAATCGATATTTCAGAATGTTGCTATTTCAATATGTCGACATTTTTTTGCTCGAGATTAGGGGCCTTCCGGCAAATCCTGATGTAAGTTTCCACATCATAAAAATGCCGACATCATGAAGGTCGACGTTCTGAATTTCGACATTCTGCACTTCGACATTATGAAAAATCGACGTTCGGAAATTTCGGCATTATGAATTTCCCCTATTTCAAAATTTCGGCATTTTGCGTTTCGAGATTCTGAAGTTCCACATTATGAATTTGGACGATGATTTAAAGTAACCCCTGTCACGTAGCTGTCGAGTCCTAGCCGACGCAGGAGTCGATTCTCACGCTTCTCAGCCCCTTGAAACGGGTTCGTTTGGTCGTTGGAAGACGTCAGATCGGCCCTTTCCTGGGCACGTCGAACGCTTATCGCCAAAGGTGCAGAGCACCGGCTGGTTGCCCGGGCTTTGTTGGGCGCGTCTGAATCACTTTCCTCGGCCCGCCTTGGCATTGGCACATTGATTCACCCCGCAGAACGTGCAAACTTTTTGGTCGTCTACTCGAAACCGGGGTCAACTCGGCGGATTCGTTGTGGCGGCTAAATTTAGATACTTGCTTGCTTTCGCTGTGCTTTTCTCTCTTTCTCTCTCTCTCTCTCTCTCTCTCTCTCTCTCTAGTCTAGCGGGCAGGCTAGCAGAGGTTATTGTAGGAAAAACGCGTGTATTTATCTCTCGCCTCTCTCTCGCTCGCTATCTCGCTTTCTCTCGCTCTCTCTCTCCCTCTCTTTCTCTCGTGTCGTTCTCCCGCTCCATCTATCTCTCGCTCTCTCTAACCCTCTCTCTCTCTCTCTCTCTCACTAATCTCTCGTTTTCAGAGACATTTCCGATCGCTTGAGGCGTCCCCGATTGCCCAATGGGATGCCCTCCCACCATCACAAATCGTCATCCCTATGGGTGCCAGGTGCGTTTTTCAAGGTTTAAGGGAACCCTCAAGCAGGCTAGCAGAAATTCTTTAGGAAAGGGCAGGCTAGCAGAGGGTTTTGACGGGATTCTCGAGGATTCGGGTTTAATCCGAAACCTTTCCAGCACGGCCACCGGTAGCCCAGACGCTGACCACCACCCTCAACCCGCTGCCCTTCTTCCAGCGGGAGCAGCAGCTGGAGACCGAGTACGTCTCTCTCCCCCTCTCTCTCTCTGGCTCCCTCTCTCTATCTCGCTCCCTCCCCTTCTCTCTCTCTCTCTCTCTCTCTCTAACTCTATCTCACTATCTTACCCTCGCACCCGCTCCAAAAAGGAAGGCTAGCTAGCAGAGATTCTTTAGGAATTCCCCAATTTCAAGTTTCAGCAGTCTCCGCCAGGTGCAACCCAACTCCGTGCACCCATCCCCTCACCGATACGCCTGCCCCAACTTCGACCAATACCCCAACAATCGAATCTCGACTACGAAATACACCGTGTACACGTTCTTGATCAAAAACCTCTGGGAGCAGTTCCACCGATGGGCCAACTGGTTCTTCATTGTTATCATTTGTAAGTGTGGTTTTTGTATATGAAGTTCAGGAGGCTTAGGCTTCGGCTTAGACTTAGGCTTAGGCTTAGGTTAGGCTTAGGCTTAGGCTTATGCTTAGGCTTAGGTTAGGCTTAGGTTAGGCTTATGCTTAGGCTTAGTCTTAGTCTTAGGTTAGGCTTAGGCTTAGACTTAGGCTTAGGCTTAGGTTAGGCTTAGGCTTAGGCTTAGGCTTAGGCTTAGGCTTAGGCTTAGGCTTAGGCTTAGGCTTAGGCTTAGGCTTAGGCTTAGGCGTAGGCTTAGGCTTAGGCTTAGGCTTAGGCTTAGACATAGGCTTAGGCTTAGGCTTAGGCTTAAGCTTAGGCTGAGGCTGAGGCTTATGTTTAGGCCTTGGCTTCGTCTTGGCTTAAGCTCCGCTTGGGTTTCGGCCCAAGTTTAGGCTTAGGCTTCGGCTTCGGCGAACGTTAAGCTTAGCTTTGGCTTACACTTAGGCACAGGCCTAGCTTTGGCTCAGCCTTAGGTTTAGGCTTAAGGTTAGGCTTAGGCGTTCAGAAAATAGGGACTCAACTCCGTGTTTTGGCGCGTTTTTCTCGACACCTAATCGATGGTAGGGGTGGAATTTGGCTCTTCCAAGCTGTTTTAAAGTCTCGGAACAGGCAAAAAAACGGCTTTTCCACAAGAATCTCTGCTAACCCGCCGCCCTTTTCAGTCCTGAACGCCTTCAAAATCTTTGCCGCCTTCAACCGTTTCCTCGGCATCATTCCGGTGGCTTGCATTCTCGTCGCTACCGCGATAAAGGTAAAAACAATTTTTTGGACCTTTTCCATTCCGTTTGTGTTTTTTTTGAACTCTAGCAATGAAATTTAGGACATTTTCGAAGATCTACGCCGCTACCGCCTCGACAAGAAAATCAACGAGTCGACGTGTTTGGTCTGGGATCAGTGAGTTTTTGCTTGGGATAGCCGGGTAGCAGGCTAGCAGAGAGCTTTTAGGAATGAAAATCGCTGCCTAGAGAACCCCTTTAACTTCCGCTCCTTTCCAGTGTGCATCTACAGTTTCGCCGGATGCAGTGGCAGCACATTCTCGTCGGCGACTACGTGCACATTTCGAATATGGAGCCGTTCCCGGCCGATATTTTGCTGCTACGGTCTTCTGAAGCTACGGTACTATACTATATGATCAGGCTTGGCGTAGGCTTAGGCTTAGGCTTAGCTTAGTTAGGCTTAGGCTTAGGCTTAGGCTTAGGCTTAGACTTAGGCGTAGGCGTAGGCTTAGGCATTGGCCTAGGTTTCGGCTTTAGCTTAGGCTTGAGCATAGGCATAGGCTAGACTTAGGCTAAGCTTAGGCATAGGCTTATATCAGGCTTCGGCTTAGGATTTGGCTTGGCTTAGGCTTAAGCTTAAACTGTCCTCAGTAGACTTCAGCTTATGCCTAGGCTCAGGGCTTAAATCGGCTTAAGCTCAGCTACAACTTCGCTTAAGCTTAGCAAGCCTTTTTGGAGTACCCTCTCCTGTAATTTCAGGCATTTTCAGGGCACTTGCTTCATCGAAACATCAAATTTGGACGGGGAGACGTCGCTGAAGCAGAAGAACGTCCCGAAAAGCATCGTGCATTTGTCAGAGGTGAGCGACCAAAGGATTTCTGCTAGCTTGCCGGGTTTCCTAAAGAATCTCTGCTAGCTTGTCGGCAACCGACTAGAGCTTTCTCCTTAAATTTATTTGCCATATTACCATTTCCCCAAAGTTCCCTGTGCCACCCCTCTCAATTCCAGGACCCGAACGCCAATTTTGACGAGATCGCGCCTAAGCTACCGGTTGAACATCGCTGTATGCATCCCTCCAAGAGCCTCCAGGAGATGTACGGCTTCGTCGAGTCGGCCAAGGGCGACAAGGACAATTTTAGTAGGTCTTTTATGCATTCCTCAATGATCTCGGCTGGTTTGCCTCCATTCCTCAAGAAACTCTGCTAGCCTTCAAAAGCAAAAATTCCGTTTTCAGCCAAAGAACACATGCTGTGGCGAGGGTGTCGACTCCGGAATACAACATTTGTCGAGGGGATCGTACTGTATGCTGGTAAGGATCAAAGTGTAAGGCTTCAGCTTAGGCTTCAGCTTAAACTTAGGCTTAGGCTTGGGCTTAGGCTTAGCTTAGGCTTAGGCTTGGCTTAGGCTTAGGCTTGGCTTAGGCTTATCCGTTTTCATTTCAGGTGGCGACACCAAGGTGATGTTGAACAATGGGCGGCCCAAAGCAAAACGCTCCCAAATCGAGCTCCTCACAAACAAGTTCATCCTCTTCTGCTTCCTGATCTTGATCGCCATGTGTAAGTTAGAGCGAGAAAATGAGATAGCAAGTCAGAGAGAGACAAAGCGAGAGAGAGAAAGAGAGAGAGAGAGAGAGAGCGAAAGAGAGAGAGAGAGATGGCGCGAGAGAGTGAGAGGGTTGGCAAGCCAGCAGAAATTCTTGGTTTTCAGGTATGGTCGGCTCGATGGGTGCAGCCATTAATGCGGCAAATGTCGACCACCAGAATGTCACCTCGCCATTTCAGGTAAAAGCTGCAAAATGCAAAAAAAAATTGGTGTTTTTAGGTTATCCAGGACAAAAAGTGGTGGCTGGATGGGTTGACCAGCATCGGCACGTTCATCATCAACTATCAGGTTGGGCTTAGGCTTAGGCTTAGGCTTAGGCTTATGCTTAGGCCTAGTCTTAGACTAGGGCTTAGGCTTACAAGGGAACCTCACGGAGACATGGTGGAATTTCGGAAAACGCTCGCGGCTACCCCTATGTAATCGACCATTGCGATCACGATGCGCTTGTCAGATTTTTCTAAATAGACCTGTGGACAGAGATACAGCACTTCCGGAAAATGATGATTTACATGCAAAAAATTTGCATTCAAGGATGGTTTATGAGGCTCTCCCATCACTATGGAATCACAAGTTGAATGGCCGAGTGGCAAGCGACTAGCTGGGTAGGATTCTAACGAGGGTTCGAATCCGCTCACGATTTTTTTGTTTTTGGTTTTTGGCCAGAGGTTTTTGTGCTGGTACGTGCTAAAGTACTTCTTAATTTTAAGACAGTTGTCGACGTTACGTGGACAGAAAATTATTCTTGTAAATTGATTTTTGATTTTTTTGCAGATGGTCAGGTCAGGTGTGGGTGACTCCAGCCGGCAGATCTGATTTTAATTTTTCGAATTTTTTTGGCCTTTAATGGTTAAAGATGGAAGAACGCCAACAGGGATTTCGGTTTATTACTAGTAACATTCTGGACTTGTACAAAAATCTCTGGCCAAAAACAAAAACAAAAAATCGTGAGCGGATTCGAACCCTCGTGAGAATCCTACCAAGCGAGTCGCTTGCCACTCGGCCATTCAACTTGTGATTCCATAGTGATGGGAGAGCCTCATAAACCATCCTTGAATGCAAATTTTTTGCATGTAAATCATCATTTTCCGGAAGTGCTGTATCTCTGTCCACAGGTCTATTTAGAAAAATCTGACAAGCGCATCGTGATCGCAATGGTCGATTACATAGGGGTAGCCGCGAGCGTTTTCCGAAATTCCACCATGTCTCCGTGAGGTTCCCTTGTTAGGCTTAAGCTTAGGCTTAGGCTTGGACTTAGGCTTGTGCCTGACGACGGTGTAATTTCAGGTGATGGTCCCCCTCTCACTCTACATCACCGTCGAGCTGATCAAGCTGGGCCTGGTTTTCCTGATGCAACAAGATGTGCATTTGTATTATGATGGAAAGGTAGAAAACTTGGGTTTGGAGGTGCAGGGGGCTAGCAGAGATTCTTTAGGAAAAAGCAAACTAGCAGAGACTCCTTAGGAAAGGGCAGGCTAGCAGAGATTCTCTAGCGAGATTTTTTGGGAATTTTCTTAGACCCGTTTCCTGTTTTAGGACCAGCGAGTGCAAGTACGAAATCTGACGATCCCGGAGGAGCTCGGGCAGATCACCCACGTCCTCAGCGACAAGACCGGGACGGTCACGGAGAACGTGATGTTGTTTAGGAGGTGGGGCTCTCTCTCTATCTCTCTCGCTCTCTTGCTCTGTCTCTCTCACTCTCTCTCCCTATCCTCGTCATTTTCAGGTGCGCCTTCGACCACTTTGACTACGGTATGCCGGCCGGGATACATGCGCACGTAAGTTGGAGTGCTTTGCAAAATTTTTGCAATATTTAAGGAACATTTCCTGCCTTCCAAGTCCCTTTAATTTGGCTACAGTTCCAGAAAAATCCACTTTTTAGCACCGCGCCCCCTCCTCTGGCCTACACCCCACCGATGAGCTGCGATTACGCGTCTTGTCGACATGGCGAATGGATGAGCATATGCGGTTGGTTTCGGAGAGCCAGCTAGCAGAGATCATTAGTGAAAAGTTGTCCAACCGGGCATGCTAGCAGAGACCATTTGGGGAGCATCGTGTCACCTAAGAAAGCTAGCAGATATCCTTGTGGAACCTCTTTTATTACACGTTTTCCAGGCATTTCTTCACTAATCTTGCCTTGTGCAACACCGTTGTCGTCAACAGGCAGCATAAGGATATGTTGGACGTGAGTTACGAGCAGGATTTGTAGTTTGTAGCCGAGATGCTAGAGTTTGTAGCCGAGGGTTTGTAGGCTACGTCACAATCTGGACTCTCAAATTACCGCCTTGTAGCTTCTACTCTAGGTCGGCCGATATGAAGATGGCGTCTACACCATCGACAACTCGGCATTCTATACCGTGACCGAGGCCGAGTTCCAGGAAAAGCAGGAAAAATTCAGGATTCATAAGGAGCGCGCGATCCGCTTTCATGATGAGAGGTGAGCGAGAGAGAGGGAAAGAGAGAGAGAGAGAGAGAGAGAGAGAGAGAGAGAGAGAGGGGGGGGGGGGGGAGTGGTCGAGGGAGAGATCGAGGGAGAGAGACGGGGAGTGGAGAGAAGAGAGTGAGCGAGAGAGAGAGAGAGAGAGAGAGAGAGAGAGAGAGAGAGAGAAAGAGCGAGCGAGAAATTCCTAATTTTCCAGTGTACGAGCAAAAGCCGAAGCCGCGGCGGCCAGGACCGCGACTTCCGACTCTACACTGGATGCCATTACCTCAGGAGACGAGGAGGACGAGGTGGATTCTGACGAGGAGAAGGTATTTAGAGTATTTATTTAGTAGATACTTAGGCTTAGGCTTGAGCTTAGGCTTAAGCTTAGGCTTGGCTTAGGCTTAGGCTGTGGCTTAGGCTTAAGCTTAGGCTTAGGCTTAGGCGCAGGCGCAGGCGCAGGCTTAGACCTAACCTAAAACATTCGAACTACAGCCGGGCCAACGCCTCTCTCGGGTCTCCACCTTCTCCCACCGCATCTCCTCCGGCATCAAGAACTTCTTGCCGCGCATCAGCAGCATGTAAGCGCGAATGTCTGACCAATATATCGTAACCCAGAATCTCCACCCCCGGCTCGTCAATCCGGAAGCGCAAGCACAAAAGGAAGGAGCCCAAGAACAAGAAGAAAGAGAGCCGCTACGAAGCGGAAAGTCCAGATGAGTTGGCGCTTGTTGAGGTGGGTTTTCCTAAGGATCTCTGTTAGCCTGCCACTATAGGGTGCCGCTCAGTACGGATTTGTGCTCGAGGAGAGGGGAGCTACGCACGTGACGTTGCAGTTACCAGACTCGAAGAAGCAGAGGTAGTTAAAGCTCTCGCTGTCTCTCTCTTTCTATCTCTCTCTCTCTCTCTCTCTTTGATCTCTCGCTCATACTCCTTTCAGAGTTGAAGTACTCCGCATCCTTCCCTTTGACGCCGACAGGAAACGCATGTCAATCATCGTCAAAGGCCAAGCGGGACCGATCCTGTATACCAAGGTAGGGCAGGCTAGCAGAGATACTGGAGGAAAGAGACCGATCCAGCTAAAAACAATTTTAGGGAGCTGATACTGCGATTCTGAGCAGACTAGCCAAGGAGCCGGAAGCGGACGCGGAATCGGATACAGGTTTGATCTCAGCCTAAGCCTAAGCCCAAGCCTAAGCGAAGCCTAAGCGAAGCCTAAGCGAAGCCTAAGCGAAGCCTAAGCGAAGCCTAAGCCCAACCCTACGCCTCATCACCATTCCTTTCAGAAAGTATAGCCACCTCGGCCATCGCCTCCTCCAGAATCTCCGTCGAACGAGCTGGCGTCCTCCTCGGCCACTACGCCGGAAAGGGATTACGGTAGGAAATTCGTAGCATAAAAACCAACGTTTACAGTACCCTTGCGTACGGGATGAAAAAGATGACGTGGGAAGAGTATCACCACTTTGCCGAGCAGTACGAGTTTGTGAGTTTTGAAGCCAGGCATCTCGACCGGAAATAGTTTCGGCGTTTGGCCCCTATAAACCTACTTTTCAGCTCGAAACCCTGAACGCCGACGATCGCGACAAGTTGATGGCCGAGAAGGCCGACGAGCTCGAGTCGAACTTGCAATTTTTGGGGGTGACGGGTGTGGAGGACAAACTACAGGTAAATCTCTCTGACTCTCTCTCTCTCTGTCTCTCTCTCTATCTTTCTCTCTCCCTTTCTCTAGCTTAACTCTTTCAGGAAGGGGTCTCCGACACGATCACCTCACTTCGAGAAGCCGGCCTGCAGGTGTGGCTGCTGACCGGGGACAAGCTGGAGACCGCCGAGAACATTGGTAGGTCCACAAGAATATCTGCTAGTCTGCCCCAATTTCGGAGATGAAGTTGTAGAACCCTGAACGTCAATTTCAAAATGTTCAGCTACAGGCTACAAACTATAATTTTCAGCTCGAGCCTGCGGCTTATTCGACTCACGATACCCGGAAGTGTCTGTATCTACACAGGAGGGATTGGCCGAGATTGTTGGATTGGGCAGGTGAGTGGGAGGGCAAACTAGCAAAGATCATTTGGGAATGAAAGGGGCAGGCTAGCAGAGATCATTTGGGAATGGAAGGGGCAGGCTAGCAGAGATCATTTGGGAATGGAAGGGGCAGGCTAGCAGAGATCATTTGGGAATGGAAGGGGCAGGCTAGCAGAGATCATTTGGGAATGGAAGGGCAGGCTAGCAGAGATCATTTGGGAATGGAAGGGGCAGGCTAGCAGAGATCATTTGGGAATGGAAGGGGCAGGCTAGCAGAGATCATTTGGGAATGGAAGGGGCAGGCTAGCAGAGATCATTTGGGAATGGAAGGGGCCGGCTAGCAGAGATCATTTGGGAATGGAAGGGGCAGGCTAGCAGAGATCATTTGGGAATGGAAGGGGCAGGCTAGCAGAGATCATTTGGGAATGGAAGGGGCAGGCTAGCAGAGATCATTTGGGAATGGAAGGGGCCGGCTAGCAGAGATCATTTGGGAATGGAAGGGGCAGGCTAGCAGAGATCATTTGGGAATGGAAGGGGCAGGCTAGCAGAGATCATTTGGGAATGGAAGGGGCAGGCTAGCAGAGATCATTTGGGAATGGAAGGGGCAGGCTAGCAGAGATCATTTGGGAATGGAAGGGGCAGGCTAGCAGAGATCATTTGGGAATGGAAGGGGCAGGCTAGCAGAGATCATTTGGGAATGGAAGGGGCAGGCTAGCAGAGATCATTTGGGAATGGAAGGGGCAGGCTAGCAGAGATCATTTGGGAATGGAAGGGGCAGGCTAGCCGAGGCCCTTTGAGAAAACCAAAAAATTCCGGATGCATACTTACTTTCAGATGCAACATCAAGCTCGCCCCGGAAGCACTGAAAATGCTAAAAGATGGTGATGAAAAGCTGCTGGATATCGTGAAGAGGTACGGTAGCTGGGGCTCGTTGTAGGAACCTGATTTTCAGGAGTGCCTCTGTGCTTTGCTACCGAATGACGCCGGCCGAGAAAAGCGAGGTGGTCGGATGTGTGAAGCGGAAATTCAAGGGGAGAGTGCTGGCTATAGGTGAGAGAGAGAGAAAGAGAGAGAGAGAGAGAGAGAGAGAGAAAGTGAGAGCGAGCGACAGAGCGAAAGAGATTCCAATTTCTGAATCTCTAGGCGACGGCGCCAACGACGTCCCGATGATCCAGGCGGCCCATGTCGGCGTTGGGGTCAGCGGAAACGAGGGAATGCAGGTAAAATCTCAAAAATTGCTTTCTAAGGTATCTAGAACCAAAATTCTTTAATAAATACGATTTTACAAAGTATCTCGAACCAAAATGCCTAAAAATGTGGCTGACAATAATATTTGACTTTCCAGGCGGTGATGGCGTCAGACTTTGCGATCGCGCGCTTCCGCTTCCTCGAACGCTTGCTGCTGATCCACGGCCACTGGAACTACGACCGAATCGCGAATACTTACCTTTATTTTCTATACAAAAACGCTGTAAGTTTTCGGGGTTTTAAAAAGTAAGTTCTTCCTTTGCAGCTGCTCGTGTTCATCATCTTCTTCTGCCAATTCTACTCGCTTTTCTCCGGCGAGAGCCCTATGGACCCAATATATTCAATGTTGTACTCAATTATATTCACTAGGTATGTAGAGATGTCTTTTTAATAAAGTAAATTCTTGCAAACTGGTTACATCCTTAATTTTCCAGCGTTCAACCGATCATCTACGGCATCTACGACCAGTGCAACGAGGGAAAATCACTTATGGAGCGCCCATCTTCGTATCGGTAAGTAAAAAATCAGCTAAAAACTTTAAAAATAATTTTACAACTCAAAAATACGCTTTACCCGCCATTTTTTAAGTCTACAGGTCGTCAAATGAAATCAAACATTTCTGAATTAATTCCTAGGCCAAATAATATGAATTTTTAACATTGCGCCTCATTCTTAAAGCCTGCAACCTTCAAAGTCTCAGTTTTTTTGTCTTTTAAACATAAAACTTTCAGAAAAACCATGGAAGGGCGGTGCTACTCGTGGAAACTCTTCTTCTTCAACATTGGCGATGCTTTATATCAGGGCGCCGTTTGCTACTACATTGCGCATAACGTAAGTCTTCCGAAAAATCTGAAAAAGCAAGAAATCTTCAAGATTTTTGTTTCTATAGGTCCTTAAAACCACATATTATTAGCCTATCGTTTAAACAAATTGGTGTTGTAAAGAAAAACATTTCTAGTGGGCCTACGGCGCGAACGTCGGCCTCTGGGAGTTCGGCTTCATCCTGGCCACCTCCATGTTTTTGTGCAACACGTTCCACTTGGCGTTAGAAGTGCGATGTTGGGTATGAAGTCACGAAAAGCTACAAAATCTTTCGCTTTTTTAGACCTGGCCAATTTGGTCGATTTTCCTCTTCTTCACGGTCCTCCATTTCGGCTTCTTCCTTGCCTACCATGCGCTATGCGGCCCATGGAGTGGGCTTTACGGGCCGCCGATTCTCGTCTCGTTCCGGTCGATGAGTAAGTTCCGAAAAGGACGGCTAGCAGTGATCATTGGGGAATTTCTCAACAAATTTTTTAGCACAAGCCAGCTTCTACATTGTCGAATTGCTGACGGTCGTCACTGCTCTAATACCCAGGTAAAATAAACTTCTGTGATTAACCTAAATCAAGCTAGTGAATTCACCTAAAAGATAATAACAAGAATTTCAGGCTCCTCTACCGCGTCTACCTCAGCAAAAGAGAGGGCAAACTCGGCAGCGAGCTCACGTTTTGCGGAATTAGCGTATAATTGTTTTTTTTCATAGTTTTCTGCCATTCTTATTGCCTCAATGTGTTGTGATCTCATCCTCGACCTATACCGGTACCTCGGTGATCCATTTCTGGGTAAATAGTTAGTCGACTAGTCGTTGTTTTCCTGCCAATAAAAGCTTATCCAAAAAAAGTTTATACACCCGAACGCGTTAATCAAAAATATCGTTGAGAAAGTCGTCGATCTCGTGCTCGACGGTTCTTTCGGTTTCTGCTTGCTGAGGCGCTGACCAGATTTCGCCGGCTGTCTTCGCTTGCGCCGATGAGCTGCCGGCCGATTCGCTTGACGCTTCTCCTTCTCCTTCAGTGGGCTCTCGTTTTGGGCTCGGATCGGATTTTTTCGACTTGCTGCCGGCTCGCCATCGATCCAATCGATTCGTTTTCTCCACCTAAATCAGGGATTACAAATCCTTTCCAAAATATCACCACCTTTTTCTTTTTGCTCACATAATTCAGCTTATCCGAGCACTCGGGGCACAATCGCACTTTCACCAGCGCATCTTTCCGTTGCCCATCCTCCACGTATTTGAAATTCACCTAAAAAAAGAAATAAAATTGGCTTAGAAATTGCTAACCTCCCAGCTCGTCAACGAATCAAAATGTTCACATTTCCGCGAGCCACATTTGAATTGTCCCTTCCCCTCTTTCACCTAAAACAGAAATCTAGATTCGAAAAAAAAAACTAAAAACCTCGGGCTCCGTCCGCCATCGCATCCCAATCTTGCCGTGCTTATACTGGGAGAGATCCACAATGCAGTATTCTAGAAAATGAGCCATATAAAATTCAATGCAGAAAGACATACCTTTGAAGAGCTTGTCATAATACCTCTTCGCCAAGCGCTTTTCCCAGTCCTTTGACGTTTGTGCTTCGTCTTCGGCATTCCAGAGAAATTTGTGATTGTCCTAGAAGCAAGATGGGCGTAATTGCAAGTAAAATACCTTTAAAACATCATAATCCGTCCGATCTCTTGTCGTATCTCGTTCAAAGAGGTGCCGATTTGCGCCAGGGTGATAGAGGTAGTACAAATTAATGATTTCCTTGTGCCGCTGGTACGCGTCGAGCATCGCAAGCCGAGAGAGTTGACTAAACAAAAATCCGATTTGCAGAATAGGCAAAAGTACCGAAATTGCCGGCCGTGTTCATCCTGAAACCATCTCTTCCCCTCCTTAGGTAGCGGCTTCGGCTCCTCGTAGGGGCGCTCCTTTTCGAAAAAATCGCCTCTCCGTTTCTTGCCGAAAAAAACTAGGTTGGAAACCTTTAAAAAGCTTACCAGATCTTTCAGCGCTTTCAGTCGGGTCAAAATCTGACGAGAGATCGTCGAGGCCAAAATCTGGGTTCCGCTTCACGGCCATACCTGAAAAAATAATCATAAAAAATTTAAAACGCAAAAGTCAGTTTTGGGAAAGCAAAAAAGTAAAGTATCGATCGATAATATTAAATGCATAATAAATTTGTACAAATTTGTACATTGTACAAAATCTACAGTATACTCGAATGCCATTCCGCACCATTCCATATTACGGTTTGTTGCATTTCGGGGCCGCCGAATTCGGAAATTTTTTTGTGGTTTTTTTTGTGGTTTTCGAATTTCGCGCAAAATCTTGAGTTTGCTTCAGCAATTTATCGTTTTTCTTTTCCATAATTATATATTTATTGATTATAGTTATACTTCATAAATAAGCGCAACTGGCTTCTCCTTTCCCGATTTGGCTCGCTGCCTTCAAAATCTTGAAATCTTTTGACTGCGATTGGCCCAATTTGGAATGGGTATTTCTAGTGCGTATGCGGAGAATATCCATAGCCCTGATAACATCTTTCGTGGCTCTTTTTTTTTGGACGTCGAGCAGCCTCTCGTTGAGCCGGTTCGAACACCGCCCGGCCTGTTGACCCGAATCCCGGTCGCGTCCTCCCTACACCCGCCCCTTGTGCGTTCCCCGTGGGGCAGTCTGCGTCTCCCCGGTGAAGGTATTGTAGAGATCTTGACTTGCCACGCGTTCCCCGCGGCCTGTCCACCCGCAGTCCAATCGAACCAAGGGCATTTTCGTGGCCGGCGGCCGGGCGCCCCGATTCCCCTACCCCTTTATCGGCCCCTTTCTCTGCCCGCAATCAACGGGATTGGGCAGAAGCCCGGAATTTTCAAAATTTAGGATTCCGTTTTATAACTCTGTGAACCTTTTTGGGCGTTTCGGAGACCTCTGGCAGCTTCTTGAGCAAATGCGAGTTGTTTCTAACTTCCCAATATCGCCTCTCTGCAAAATCTTTGATGTAGTTGCTGCAAAAGGGCATTGGTATCGGTGGCTTTACGGTATCATTACAGTTTGCTGCTACTCGATTTGTCCTGTCCGTCACTGGGTAATGTCAGAGTGGCTGGCAAAATAGGGATTAGCCCTTCGCCCGACCCGACACCCAAAACGGACCCCCCCGCTCACCCAACACCTGGTGCCCAAAAATAGTTGTCGGCGGGCAATAGGCGAATAAATGCTCCATTTCCCCTCTCGTCTCCTAGCACCCACATCCCATCTCCATGCTTTTTGGAATGTTTCCCAGCCTTTTACACTAAAAAATAGGTCAACAAGATGCTTGTTGAACCCGTTTGTTTTTATAGCCGAGCCGTATCGGAGGCTGCCCCCCCTACTAGCCCCTTATTTTCGCTTACTTATCCAAAGCTTTGGGGGTGGTGAAGCGGGAAGGAGAACTGGGTTGTTTGGGGACCTAGTTTCACGTCGCCGCCCCGGGGCGAGCCCCTATTTGCGCCGGGGTTCTCTCGTTTGCTCTCGACGGGCTGACCGTGACCTCGACCCGCGCAGGACCTGTGGCCTTCCCATCAATCGTTAGCGAAGTCGTAGATTGACCTCCGGCGTTTAGTCCGATCGCCTTCTTTTAGTTTGAAAAATGGATTGCTGGCGCTGTTTTGCATTTTATTTTTTTGAAACTAACTGGGGTAAGGAGAGTGTGTTTAATTGTTGAAAAGGCATTAATAACGGGTTCTTGACCTTCAAAACTGATCGATTTATCTGCGGGTCATCTGTTCCCAGCTACCGGAGGCTAGCACTCATTGCAGTTCGCCGCGGGGAGTGCACTTCTAATTCCTCCACGCCCGAGGCGCTACTTCAGTTTGCTGGCCCCACTTATATATGGCCAAAACCTCATTTTTCTGGTTCAGTTTTTTGCGCTGATTACGGAAAACACTATCCCAGCCCACGAAAATGCGATTAGCAAAAACAATCTAATTGGAAAGTCGGGAAAATTCCATTTTACGGCGGTCGCGTAAAAGCGAGCCTTTTTGTGGTTTTTTAATTAAATAATGGCCAAAAACGGGTTTATCATGAATAAAGTCAGCCAGTAGCATTGTCAGGTTAAGGCGGGCCTTTGCTTCGGATGGGCTGCCGTCGCATTCTTTCGAAATCGGGGCGCTCTGGCCGCTTCTGCGCGCCTCGGGCGCCCTGATTTCGAAATCCTGTACGAGCTCGCACCCATCCGAGCGACTAGGCCCTGGGTGGCACGAAGCCTTATTTTTAGGAAAAAAGTGGATGCAATCACCAGCCTGGCTGGAAAAAGCTTTTCCACGGTTTTATAGGCCTCCCGCATCAAAACACCGGGTTGACCCTTTGTAAACTCAAACCAGAAAATCGAAAATCGGGTGTTTTCTCCTCGCGAACTACGATTTCATTTTCGTGGGCTGGGATAGTGTTTTCCGTAATCAGCGCAAAAAACTGAACCAGAAAAATGAGGTTTTGGCCATATATAAGTGGGGCCAGCAAACTGAAGTAGCGCCCAATTTTCCAAATGCTTTGCCTCTCTTCCTTATCAGCGCCATTGCAGGACTGTTAGTGTGGAGACCATCCCACTTGGAGCCCTCTCCTTCCCGGATCGCCGACCCAGCCCACGGAACGGTATGTTTTATGTTGGGAATTCTAACTTCGATTTTCTAGGAATAGCCCACCGATTGCTACGAGAATGGACCACGGACCCGGAATTCACCAAAATGGAAAGCACGGCGAGGTGAACGGCAACGACGAGAATGTGCTCCAGATGGACTACACGACCGAATTCCCCGGACTACCCGCCGCTACGCAGGGCAAGCCAGCAGCTGGCGCCTGGGGTCAGCCTCGTGCCGCTGTTCGTTCTACTACCGTGTCCCAGGTAATATTTTGCGAAATATGAGGTGGTCGCAATGCTGAGAAAATTTCATTTTGTATGCTTCAGGTCTACACCCTCACCCCGGACCAGCGTGCCTCCAAGTCGATGAAACAATTCGGAAATGAGGAACAGAAGCGCTGCCAGCAGATCGCCCAGGCCACCCAGACCCGAATCGAGCTCAGCGAGTCCAAGGACGGGTCCCTCACCGTCATGATCAAGGGCACCCGGCCGCACGTGGAGGAGGCGCACGCCAAGATCGTTCGCGAACTTCAGACCCAACTTTCCAAGGAGATCGAGATCCCCAAGGAGCACCACCGCATTCTGATCGGCAAAGCAGGCGAAACTCTGCGACAGCTGGAGGCCGAGACAAACTGCCGTATCCATGTACGTTTTGTCCTGGGTAGATTTTGCTTTGTGTTTTTATATCGCGGTTTATAACATTTATTTAGATCCCGGGTCGTGATGACGCCCACAAGGCGATCAAGGTTACGGGGCCCCGCGACGGAATCGAGAAGGCGCTCGCCCACATCAAGCGCGTCTCCGATCAACAAGCCAAGCTCGCCGTCGAGAAGATCCGTTGCCCGAAGGTGCTGATCCCTTGGGTCCGCGGGCCCAACAATGAGCTGCATGATCAACTCGTCGCCGCGCACAGTGTCAAGATCAACATCCCGCCCCCGGCTGCCACCGATGAGACGATCGTCATCACTGGAGAACGGGAGGGTGTCGCCAAGGTCGCCGCCACGCTCAAGCAGATCATTTCGGAGAAGGAGCGCGTCGTCAAGAGTGTTACTTGCGAGGTAACATTTTTAAGTGGTTTGAAAAAAAGTTTGATTTAGGTCGCCCGAGCTCAACATCGTTACGTCATCGGCCAGCAGCGCAGCGGTCTCCACGAGATTCTGCGTGAAACCGGTGTCAGCGTCGAGGTGCCGAACGAGGATCAAAACAGCGACACTATCACCCTTCGCGGAGATCCCGCAAAGCTCGGAGATGCGCTTGCTCGCGTCATCTCGCGCGCCTCTTCCGTCATCACCGCACAGGTAAATTTTTGGTTTTGCAGGAAAACCGCATTGTCTTATCTTTATATTGACGTTTTTTTTTTTTTTAGGTTGCTGCCCCCACATGGCTACACAAGCACCTGATTGGCCCGAAAGGCACGACTTTGGCTGCCCTCCTCCCCAACCGCGACAAGGTGCACGTTGACTTCGACGATTCGGGCGCAATCTTCCTCGAGGGCCCGCCCGGCGAGGTCAAGGCCGTCCAGGAAACGCTCTCCGGCGAGGTGACCCGTCTCACCAAGGACATGGCCATCGAGAAGATCAAGGTCCACCCTACCCTCCACCGTCACGTCATTGGACGGTAACGATTGTGTATGTGATTTTTACTTTCTGTTTTAGTGGTGGCGCTCTCATCGGCAAGATCAAGGACGAGACTGGCGTGCAGATCACGGTGCCCAACGAGAAGACGAACAGCGATGAGATCATCGTTGAGGGCAAGAAGGCCGGCGTGCAAAAGGCCGTGTCCGAAATTCGCCAGATCGTCTCCAAGATCGAGAACGAGAAGTCCCGCGACATCATCATCGAGCAGCGCTTCCACAAGTTGATCATCGGCCAGAAGGGAGGCGAGATCCAAAAGCTCCGCAACACCTACCCCTCGGTCGTCTTCTCCCTGCCCGAGGCTAACAAAAAGAGCGACGTGATCAACCTTCGCGGTGATAAGAACGAGGTCGACAATGCCTACAAGCAGCTGCAAAAGATTGCCAAGGACTTGCTCGAGAGCAACTACCAGGAATCCGTTCCTGTCTTCAAGGAGTTCATCAAGCACATCGTCGGCAAGGGTGGCGTCAACATTCGCAAAATTCGCGACGAAACCAACACCCGCATCGATATGTCAGAGGGAGGCAGCACCGACGACAAGATCTACGTCACCGGCAAGAAGGAGAACGTCGAGAAAGCGGTTGCTCAGATCGAGAAGATCCAAAGCGAACTCGCATCCATCGTCAACCTCGAAGTTATCATCCCGGTCAAGGTGCAATCTCGTCTGCTCGGCGGTGGGCGCCGTCTCATTCTCGACATCCAAGAGGAATGCGGTGGCGTGCACATCAAGTTCCCCTCGGAGAAGAGCGAGTCCGAAAAGGTGACCGTCCAGGGACCCCAAGCTGATGCCGAGAAGGCCGTGGCACTCCTCGAGAAGATGGCCAAGGATAAGCTTGACACCCATGAGGACACGCTCAAGGCCAAGCCCGAGTTCCACCGCTTCCTCATCGGAAAGGGAGGATCCCGCATCAACAAACTGCGCGAGCAGTACGATGTGCGCGTGATGTTCCCGCGCGAGGACGACCAGGACAAGGAGACCATCCACCTCCTGGGCAAGAAGGAAGACGTTGAGTCGACCAAGAAGGAGCTGGAGGCCCTGATCAAGCAGCTCAATGAGACCGTTGAACTGACGGTCGAGGTCCCGGCCAAGTACCACAAGAACTTCCTGCTCCGCGGTGCGCATCTAGTCAAGGAGATTCAGGTATTACCCCTTTTTTTTTTGTTTCTGAAAAACAATTTTATTTTAGGACTTGAATGGTGGTGTGCAGATCTCGTTCCCGAAACAGGCTGATGGCGGGTCGACTGTGACGATCAAGGGCTCGAAGCAATGCGCCGAGTCTGCCAAGCAGCGTATCGAGGATGTCGTCGAAGATTTCGAGCACCACGCCTCCATTCAGGTTTGTTTTTGTTTTTCCATTGTCGTATTTCAATTTTTAGGTCGAGATCCCTGCTCAGTACCACCGCTCCATCTTGGCCGGCCGCGGCCAGAAGGTTCACGATCTGCAGACCCAGCACGGCGTTCACATCCGCTTCCCGGACCGTCGTCAAGAGAGTAGGAATTTGATTTCTTGCCTTATTCTCCCTTTCAGACGCTGAAAACGGCCCTGATGCAAACATTGTCACGATCAGCGGACGCGACACCAAGTGTGAGGCAGCTCGTGAGGCCCTGCTCGCTCTGGTTCCGATTAGCAAGCGGGTTAGGAATAACGCTTTGGCCCCTCTCCCCTCTTAAAATTTTGTATTCCATTGTTCTCCTTACCTCTTCCATTTTTCAATTTTTATCCTTTATTTTTTGCACCTCAGTTGACGATCCGGTTGAAAATAAACGGTTAAAGTAGGAAATGGGAATTATCAATTTTCGACTCTATTGTGCGCTTACTTAATTCATTTTTTAGGTCACCGTTCCCTTCGAGATGCACCGCTTCCTTATTGGCCGTGGTGGCGAAACTGTGCGCAAGATCATGCAAGACTGCGACGTCAACATCGCCATCCCGAAGGAGGAGCAGCAGACGGAGGAGATCACCATCACCGGGGCCCACGAAGCCGTCGAGTTGGCCATCCAGGCCATCGATGAGAAGCGCGTCGAGTTCGATGCCCAGGCCGAGGACCGCCGCCTGAAGAGCTGGGAGCTGGAGCTTGAGGTGAACTTTGGTTTGCGTTCGTGGATCAAACGCCCGTTTAGATTCCCGCCATCTACCACCAGAAGATCATCGGACCTCGCGGAGCCACCGTCAACCAGATCCGCCAGAAGCACGACGTCCAGATTTCGCTGCCACGCGGCGAGGACCGTTCTGACAAGATCACCATCCAGGTGTTGTTTTTGTCTTTGGGAACTGAGTAGTCTGCGTGCCTGCCCTTTTCTTGAAGCCATTCTCTTGTTTCCTCTAATTTCCGGATGATATGACACGACTGAGCGGCTTTCTCTCTTTTTAGCAGTCTATCTAATCTTCGTTTTTAGGGATATGAAGCCAACGCGCGTGCCTGCGCCGAAGAAATCGAGGAGATGCTCGCCGCCCTCAAGTCGATGGTCACTCAAGAAATCTCGCTCGATGCCCGCTTCCACCCGCGTCTCATCGGCCAACGCGGCAAGAACCTGAAGCGCGTCATGGACGAATTCGGCGTCGAAATCACGCTGTCCCGCGATGACGCCGACCCGAACAAGGTCGTGGTGGCCGGAAAGAACGAGGACTCCGTCTGGGACTGCATCGACTACCTGCGCCAAGAGGAGGAAGACTATCTCGCCGAGCACCAGGACCGCGTAAGTTTTTTTTACAAAATTTGCTTGATTTCGCGCGGAAAATTTGTTCTTTGCAAATATAAAATCTTTTTCCAGAGCCAGTACATGTCGCAGCGTGCCCCGGTGGCCGAGCAGAAACCCAAGCAGCAATCCGTCCAAGTCAAGAACGCCCCATGGCAGCTGTCGGACGGCGACTTCCCGGAGATGGGCGGCGCCCCCCGCCATGTCCGGCACGACCGGCGTCTGGGGATCCGGTCGTCGCTTTTAATTGAACCGAATAAGATTCTATTTATTCCCCCCACGATTGTTTGTTGTTTTGCCCCCGAAAAAAATTCGTTCATTGTTAAAGCCTTGTGATCCGGGCGGGTGTCGCACCCAACACTCGTCCGCAAGATGCATGGGTACCCATTTTTAGTGCCTTCACCCCTGTTTTTCTTGCAAGAGTCCCCCAAAGAACTATTCCTGTGCTATTGTGTCTGTGTTGTTTTTTGGTTGAGTAGCCCTACTTGTGTATTCTGTGTAAGGGTCATTTAATAAAGTCATACCATTAATTTGTGTTTATTCACAACACATGGAAAAAGACCGGCTCCCGGCGCTTTGGGCAGGACCCGTCTAGGTATCATGAATTCACATATTTCCTCTCTCTTAGCCTGCGGCGCAAGAGCCTGAGTCAAGGAACCATCTTTGGCCTGCGGCGCCAGAGCCAGCTTTGCGCTAGAAACTTTGAGCCTGCGGCGCTTGACACCGGATTTGCTCGTGGATTGTGCCTGCGGCGCGAGAGTGTGCGATCTTGACTTTTTCTCTACAGCCAACGGCAAGCCTCACTTTTGCTTACGGCGCGAACAGGAAATCCCGCTAAATAAGCCTAAATCAGGCAAGCGGAGAGCCTGGAAAACAGCCCGAAATTTCATCGGGGAATCCAGTGACGGCCTGGACACCACGGCTTGCGAAATCCAATTCCAACTTTTCTCGCTTATAGGATCGGAAATACAAAGTAACAAAGTGCAAAGAATCAAGGTCACAAATAACAGATTAGAACCTCGCGTTTTAAACCTGGGTTCTGCAACCATTAGTGGATGTATTAACTATTATCGGACAGGTGTCCAGCCAGATTACTCAGAAATTAGAGGAAAATGGCAGATGCCTTGAACATAGGCAGGTCAATCCCATTGGATTCGATCCCTAAACGAGGCTGTTCAGTAAATCCCCCCACGGCTAACGAAACAGCTCCGCTTATTAATAACAACAAAGAAATTTTCAGGATGCCGGAACTCACACCCTTCGATTTTTCGAAGCTGACCGAGCGTCTAAAATCGCGCGTCCTGCTTCGCGTCGGCCCGGAGGAAAAGTTGCTGCTGCGTCGAGCCTCTAAGGTTTTTCGCCCAAGTATTTCTTAAACTTTCAAATTCAGATGTTCCTGGGCGAAGAGTTTCATCGCTTTTTAATGCGGACCCGGCTGAAATTTGTCGCGACCCGTGGACCGCTCCACTCCGGGGTAAGCCGGCCCGTAATATACGTCCACGCGCGTGCTATGCAACGTACACCTCGAAAAGCCGGAGATGAACTTTGCGCATGCCGAAAGCAGATCGTGTAATCGGCTTCTTTTAGACTACCGGTTCTACAGGCAGCCAGTTTGTCCTGCACCCTACCGGTATCATTATTTATTTCTGGAATCCAACGCTGCCGATGACGCTTATGTGGTTTCGGCGGTAGGTTATTCGTAGTGGAATTTTGTTTATCTACAGGGCGTCCGAAAAAATCGACCCCTCTAGCGGGCTTAGGGTCACCCTGTATGCAGTTTACTTTCCTTTTTCGGTTTCCAAAATTCTGTTGACAGCCATAATTCACAATCGGCGAATGGCGATGGTCAATGGGGATTTACGAGAGAGATGGGCAGCGCGGAAGCTGAATGCAAATTTCTGAATCGACTGTTGGTGACGTTGCCTCAACATCGAGTCTCCTTCACCTGTCACGGCGGTGATGGGCCGGTGCGTTTTTTTTTTTGGAAATCGATCAGCAGGGTGCTTCACACTTAACAGGGGGGAGGAGGGGGGAGCCAATTCTTATTATCAGGGAGAAAAAAAAAAAAAAAATTTTTCGCATAATCTATAACAAGCGAGCAGCATTTTCCATGAGTCCAGAATGCGCCTATCTATCGCGATGCGTTGTGCGTGTATCGCAAATCGACGACTGTTTCCCGCGGTGAACCTTTGGAAGAACTTTGTCCGATACTACGAGAAGAGCGACTCCGACCCCGTCAACCTCATCACGTAAGTAGGAGCTTAATACGCTCGAAATTGCAGATTTGCTATCATAGTATCGAAAATAATACCAAAATTTCAAAAAGTGCAATTTTTTTGGGTCGGGGTTTTTCGTGTTAATTTGTCTATCTAAATTTAGAGATTCTGAAGTTTTTACATTATAAATCTTGAGATTATGAAATTTTGACGTTCTGAATTTTGACATTTTGAAACTAACGGAAATTGCAAGCCTTTTTCAGATGGCGCTTTCGTTCCGCCCGGTACCAGCCAATCCGGGGTATTGCGCAGTGTTCGAGCAGGTGAGCTAGACACTTCCAGAAAGGCTGCAATACCGATTTTACCGATTTACGAAAATGACGTCTAAATTGTAACTTTTCATCACTTTTTATTCTTAAAAATGGCAGAAACCGACAGGCGAATGACCATTTTTCGGTAAACGACTCAAAATCGGCATGTTAATTGCGAAAATACAGCCAAGAATGGAGTACCAGCTTTTCCCAAAATTCACTTTTTTAGCGATAGCTTTGTTCCTTTGTTTAACAATATTTTGCTTAGAAAATTTGGTGGCACATCGTTTTTATCGGCCCCCATCGCTGGGGAAAATTTGGTCCCGCGCCGTTTGAGGGGACACCCTGTACCTCTCGAGTTTTCAGATTGCCCACATTCCGAGAATTTCCTTCGGTCTAGGCTACGGTTTCAACAATTGCTGGGTGCCGGCCTTGGAAGTGGCCACACTGATCCTCGAAGCCGCTTTAGTTACGGTAGTCTCAGAAGTGAAGCGTCAGATTGTGCCATTTAGTATCGTCCCATCGGGGATACAGCGCGAATCACGACGATTGGGATCGAAACCTGGCTTGAACATGATCAACAGGTCAACAAAAAGATTCTAGAAGAGTTTTTAGCAACGAGATGCGCTCGAAGGGCTTATTTTCATTTTGTCGAAACTCCATTTTGCCGAAATTTCAATGCCTATTTATTATTCTTTCAAACATTCCGCAATTTGTAATTACAGTGATATTTCCACAAAATGAAATTTCGGCGCAGAATGAGATTTTGACAAAATGATTTTTGACAAGGGTTTTCGACAAAATGCTAGAAAAACTGCTAGTAGTTGAAATGGATAGCGGTGCATTTTCAGCCGGCTGAATACCGTCTCACCGATGCACTGCGGACCCTCCTCGAAAACAGCCTTAGCGCCACCGACGAAGTGTCGTTCTATCGCAAAACTACGGTAACATTTGGATAAAAATACGCCTTGCCGATCGATTTTGTAAAAATAAAAAACCGAACGTATTCAGAATTTTTTTCTGTCGCATGAGCCCTCGCTCAAAATTTTCGAAAAATGGAAAGACTGGAAAAAAATTTTGTATGGGAAATAGTGAAAAAACAGCCTGCTCCAAGCAGCTGTAAAACGCCGGATAGGGTGAAGCCTGTTTTGGTGAAATATGTTTCAAATCAGATTCAAATTCAAATCAGAAAAAGCTTCTTTTCTCAAAAAAAAAACTTGTAGAAATTTTGCGTCTCAAAAAACTTAAGATACATTAGAACTTCAAAACAACAAAGAAACGCGTCATGGAAAAACGCTTCTCGCGAACGAAAATTGATACGAAAACATAAATATCTGGAGCGTTAATGATTAATAGCAAATTTGGAGAACGAGGTGATGATCAGCGTGGTCGATTCTAGCTTGGTGCTGATTTTCAGTCAATTCGGATTCCGGGTTTCTCCGGGCTCCCCTAGTAAGCCTGAGCCTGAGCCTAAGCGATGAGAAAACTCTTTTGTACGCACTGATTTCAGCTACTTACCGGTCTTCTACGCCCGCCTGGCAAGGCCATTATCGACAAAGTCAAAATTGTTCTCGCACAAAATTGCGAGCCCGGCCACGTGGAGCTTCGACGAGAGAAGGGGTGGCTGAATAGGTACGATTGCGTGGAGAAATGGCCGAAAGAAGAAGAAACCGGGATTTCACCATAAAGAATAATTTTTGTTTCATTTTTTTTGTTATTTTTCGTATCTTACGTTGTTAAAAATAAAGTTTTGGATCGAAGAAGACTTAGCGGTAGGAAAACGCGTTTTTTCGTCGTTACCTACCGTTCAAAATAAATAATGTAATTTTTGAATTGTTTTTGGTAGCTCAAAAACTACAAAAATAAATTTAAAAATACGAAAATTCTGACTTTTTGATAATTTTTCATACATTTTCGACCGATGATTCATCAGAACGCAAAATTTATTGTCCGTTTTTATCGGCTTTTTGTAGCTCAAAACTGTGTAAAACGCTATAAAAATAATCTAGATTTTTGTATGGAGCTGTACCGTATTACTGGGAAAAGTTGGTCTCGCCTGGAACGCCCCCCCCCCGCTAACAGTACAGTCCCTGCGAAAGACCAGCGAGAAATTCTGGGGGCCATATTGGCAGTTTTCTGCTTCACAAAAAAGAGCGCGAGCTCCGCGGTTTATCCAGGATGATCAGGGCAATGCGGGGACGGGGCGGAGAGCGAAAGTGCCGGCCAGTAGCCGCGGCGTCTTCTATTGGGTCACTACGGATTTCGATTTCTTCTTTCACCTCCCGTCCATTGCGCATCGTTCAGCGAAAGTGGTGCGTGTGAAATTGGGCGGGTTGGAATCGGAATTCTTGAGATTGTAGCCGGATCAGCTTCATCTATGAAAACTGAGCTTTGAAAGTTTTTTCTGAATCAGGACGTGCGTGTTATCGGCATTTTTCACTTACTGTCGGCATTTTGGCTGGCTGCCCAACGAGGAGTCGAAAAAAATCGAGATTCTCGAGATTGTAGCGTGCTTAAAGGGACCGGGAAGGCTTGAATGGTCTTTAGGGAAATTGCGTGTCAATAGGGGTGCCTAGGCTTAGACAGAGGCTCCGGCTTAGGCGTAACCTTGGGTTTGGGCTTATTGTTGGACTTCCTCTCCGGATCAAGTTTTTGTTTCAAATTTACTTTTTAAAAGGATGGGCTAATTATGAGATTGGAAATCCATCTATATAGCTCTCTATCTCGCTCGGTCTCTCTCTCTCTCTCTCTCTCTCTCTCTCTCTATCCCACACACGCACTCTCCCTCTCCCTCTCCCTCTCCTTCTCCCTCTCTCCCGTTCACTTCTGACCCCCTATATTTCAGCCAATCCCTTCCGGAAAGGTCATCTCCACGGCGCGGCTCTCACTTTTCCTGGTCACTTTCCATTTTTCGGGAGGTGCTGCAGGGAGAGGTGTCTGGCTGCCCGAGTTTAAAGGGAGCGTGCCAGCTGGAGACTGAAATATCATGGCGTGTACGGCTTTCTACGTTCTACCACGCGGCAATACTCTTGATTGATTAGGGTTCAAATCTCGACTCTCCACCGCGAAGGCCCCGGGGCCCTATCTGGCACCAATTTTTGTTTATTTACACAGCCAAACGGCCCAGGTCAAGTCGATTAGTCGAGCCGAACCATATTTGTTCCCCGGAATTTCGAGCGATTTGGGGTTTCGGCTTTGCCGTAGATTTAAGGGCAGCCTGAAGTAAAAATTCGTAGAAAAATCGATTCTTTAGTTTTCGCGGTGCGAACACTTTTTCCTGGCTGTAATCCTGGCCTAGTAAGCATACATAAAGCATTTTTATCTTGTTTTTATTAGTGTTAATCATATTTAAAGTAGAAAAACTTTCAAAGAATTAGAAAAGTACTTAGACTATTAAAATTTTGGCCATTTTTGGTCGGAAAGGTCGAATTTTTGACCTACAATCAGATTTTTATTTAAATTTCTGAAGCTTTTATGCGGAGAAATAACCCAAAACAATGCACAAGCGCCAGCGCTGTTTAGAAAAAAATCTAGGCTTCCGCCGAAAGGAGATGGAGCCAAAGAACGCAAAAATCTTTCTCTTTCCCTCTCTCTTTCTCTCTCTCTCTCTCTCTCTCTCTCTCTCTCTCGCTTTCGCTCTCGCAGTCTCTGTCTCTCTCGCCGTGTCGCTCTCTATCACGCACTCTCTCGCTTGGTCGCTCTCTCTCGTTCGCTCGCTCTCTCTCTCTTTCTCACTCTCTCCCTCGTATCTTTAAAGGATCCATGAAGTCGGAACTTCGCAAATCCCAAACCCCGCGTTCAAACTGGGGTGCACTGGGGCACCCCCCCCGCGTGGTGCGGGTGTGAGAAAGTGGACCGGTGCGCGCGAGCGGCGTTCCCTTTTCCGGGGCTAGCCGGGTGGTGCTCTTCCCCCTCTTTCCAGCGGAAAAGAAGGTCAAACGGGCCAGAAGAATGGGAAGTCAGTGTGGGGCAAGGGAAAGTCGGATCTGTCCTCCATTCACTTTTGCCCTCCCCTCTCCCCATCCCCCGCCTCGACTTTCGAATTTTTGATCCACTTCCCAGCACGACGACGCGGATCCGGATCCATTCGACCCGCCGGAGAAGCGGGGTCAGCCAGCCACACCGCTCTCTTTCTCGTGGCTTCAATCTGAAACATTTCTCCGTTCTCCGGCTCCCACCGACCGTCTAGAGGTGTCTATCGTAATCACCGCCCTCCTAAGCCTAACTCTAAGCCTAAGCCTAGGCCACTCCGCTATTCCCATTTGACGCCATTGTTTTTCGATTTTTAGGAGTACCATTCGGTTTTAAAGGGGTTGGAAACCCAGGAGACCCCCGTATTACAATCCATAGCCCTGTCTTGCGCGTCTCTTTGAATGGTTCCATTTGGGATTCTTCTAGGTTCCTTTAAAGCTCCCTAAGTCCAAGTCTTAGCCCAAGCAAAGCTTAAACCTAAGCCTAGGCTTAGGCCTAAGCATAAGCCTAAGCCCAAACCCAAATCCAGACAAGCTCAAGCCTAGGTCTAAGTCCAAAACCCAGTTTACGCTTAAGACCAAGCTAGGCCGAAACCTAAGCTTAAGCTAAGCATAAGCATAAACTTTGCTTAAACCTAAGCCTAAGCCTAAGCAGAACTCTAAACCCAATCCTGAGCCTAGGTCCGAGCCTAAGCCTAGGTCAAGCAAAGTTGAAGCCTGAACCCAAGCACAAACCTAAGTACAGACTAAAGCCTAAGCCTAAGCTTTGCTCAAGCCTAAGCCTAAGCCTAAGCCTTAGCCTAATTTTAAGACCAACCCCAAAGCCCTTCCACGTCCCTTTAAAAACTCCCTTTCTCGAATGGTGGCTTGCGACAGGGCCGATTGGTGCCAGCGTGTACCAATTCGAGGGTCGGGCCCCGGGGCGGTTGTTTGTCTGATCGGGCCCCCCTCAGGGCATCTGGTACCCCGATGGGCGCAAAGGGGTACAACACACCACCCACCCTGTGGCCACACCCCGTAAACAACCCTCCCTGCGCCTCGGGCAGAAGCTTCATCCGAACACCAGCTTTTACGAGTGATAACAATTCTCTGATCCTTAATTCAGGCTTGGGTTTAAGGCTAGGCTTAGGCTTAGGCTTAGTCTTAGGCTTAGGCTTAGGCTTAGGCTTAGTCTTAGGCTTAGGCTTAGTCTTAGCCTTGGGCTTAGGCTTAGGCTTAGGCTTAGTCTTAGGCTTAGGCTTAGGCTTAGGCTTAAGCTTAGGCTTAGGCTTAGGCTTAGGCTTAGGCTTAGGCTTAGGCTTAGGCTTAGGCTTAGGGGCTTAGGCTTAGGCTTAGGCTTAGGTGAGGCTTAGGCTTAGGCTTAGGCTTAGGCTTAGGCTTAGGCTTAGGCTGAGGCTTAGGCTTAGGCTGAGGCTTAGGTGAGGCTTAGGCTTAGGCTTAAGCTTAGGCTTAGGCTTAGGCTTAGGCTTAGGCTGAGGCTTAGGTGAGGCTTAGGCTTAGGCTTAAGCTTAGGCTTAGGCTTAGGCTTAGGCTTAGGCTTAGGCTTAGGCTTAGGCTTAGGGGCTTAGGCTTAGGCTTAGGTGAGGCTTAGGCTTAGGCTTGGGCTTAGGCTTAGGCTTAGGCTTAGGCTTGGGCTTAGGCTTAGGCTTAGGCTTAGGCTTAGGCTTGGGCTTAGGCTTAGGCTTAGGCTTAGGCTTAGGCTTAGGCTTAGGCTTAGGGTTCGACTTAGGGGCTTAGGCTTAGGCTTAGGCTTAGGCTTAGGCTTAGGCTTAGGCTTAGGCTTAGGCTTAGGCTTAGGCTTAGGCTTAGGCTTAGGGTTCGACTTAGGGGCTTAGGCTTAGGGTTAGGCTTAGGGGCTTAGGCTTAGGCTTAGTCTTAGGCTTAGGCTTAACTGAGACTTAGCAAAGGCTTCGATTTGGGCTCAGGCTTGGGCTTAGGTTTCGCTTAGGCTTAGTTTAGGCTTGGCTTGGCTTAGGCTTAGGTTTTCTTTTCTTTTTGCCCTGTTTTTTCTCGATCACCATGTTGCCCTTGAACTATCATATGCACCCCCGGGCGGCAGCTGGTTTTTATACGGGCCGCGCGGCCGCCCTTTAGCAATCATCCACCCCCCCCCCCCGAGACAGTTGACAGCCAGAAAAAAGGTTAATTGCTCCCGGGAAACACCTGGCCTTGTTGGGCTAGGTCTCCCGGGGGATTTTTTGGGGCGTCTTTGCGATGTTTCGAGTGATTTTGAAGGTAACTTACCAGGCCCAAGCCGAAGCCTAAGCCCATAAAGCCAAGCCTATGCCTGAGCCTTAGCCGAAGCTAAACTCAAGCCAAGCCAGCTAAGCCTACTCAACTGCCTCGAATTCCGTGCCAAAACTTCCTCCTACTTCCATTTGCTGTGTGGCAGCCATTTTCACCTAGAATGCAAATATAGCACCCGTAGACATGGGCTAAAATGGGATCCATCTGACATTTTGAGGGAGCGAGAGAGAAAGAGAGCGAGAGAGAGAGAGAGAAATGGAATCCGGTTTTTCGGAAGAGCCGCCGGCGGGCAGATGGTGGTGGACGCCCCACCAACCCCCGAAGCACCATGGCCTATTTTTGGCGGAGCTGAGCGGAACCGGCACTCGACTTTTGGGGCTTTAGAGGGTTCTGATCTCTCTCTCTCACGCTCTCTCTCTCTCTCTCCCTCCAGATTTCCATAACAGTACTACCAACAGTTCGCCCCATCCTGCCTATGGCATATTGATGGCGGGCTTGGGCGGGCGGAACCAGTTCCAGCCTTCGAACTGGGCCACAGCCACTCGGCTTTTCTATCGTTCACCTGCCGACCCCCGCCCGCTGCAAGCTATTCAGTTTGTCGTTCCCCGAATTCCGCAGACGGCTGACCCTTGCCCTCGTCATGAGTAAAGCTCCGGAATGGAGGATTTTAATGAACTTCAGGGACTTCCACTAATTTGGTTGTGCCCGGATTTTTGCTTAATTTTAATTTTGATGTTTTTTTGCCTATTGGTTGCTAAGCCAAGCCAAGTCTAAGCCAAAGCCTAAGCCTTAGCCTAAGCATAACCTAAGCCTAAGCCTAGGTTAACCCTAAACTTGAGCTTAAAGGGATGCCGACGGCATAATCAATCGGTTACGCGCGGAAAAGAAAATGTCTCTGCGCCTCTCCCCAGGGCGCGCTCTCTGCCCTGTTGGCTACTTGCCAATTTGTTGATGAGGGGGATCGACACATGCCGTCGGCAGCCCTTTAAGCCCGCGCAAAGGTTACGCCGAAGCTGAAGCCCCCGCAAAGCCTAAGCCCGATCTAAGACCAAGCCTAAGCCTAAGCCTAAAGGTCGTCTCGAATATCGTCGCGCTGGTCTTGCCGAGTTTTCGGAGGAAGTCGCGAAGAGACCTCTATCTCTCCCTCTCTCCCTCTCTCGCTCGCTCTTTCTCTCTCTTCTCTCCCTCTCTATCACTCTATCACCACTTTTCCTGCCTTCCCAGCCCCTTGAAATTTCGAAAATGGCCGACTTTGCCCGCCAGGCCTCCCCCGAAAAACCGGTCCGTCTGGCTGCAGGTGGATGGCGTAATCGGAGTCTTGCTCCCCCCACCCGGTCGGCCGGTTGAAACAAGTCGCCGACTAGGTCAATCGCCATCCCCTGCCCCGACACCCCCTCTTTGGGGTGGCTTGAACCCCGTCGAGTTGCCGCTTTCGATGGGCGCTTCCCTCCTTAAAGGGACTGTGGAGGCAGAGGTCCCAAAGAATCTCTGCTAGCCTGCCCTGGTTTTAAGGGAGAGCGTCGTCGGGTGATTTTGAAGACGCTTCCGTTTTCTCGCGCTCTTTCTCGCTTTGTCGCGCGCGCTCTCTCTCGCTCTCTCTCTCTCTCTCTCTCTCTCTCTCTCTCTCTCTGGCTCCCTATCCCTCAAAGGCAGCGTGTGACTTACCGTCTTTTCAGCCCTCCGCCCTGAGGATGGAGGTGGATTCTCCCCCTCCCGGCTCCTCCCCATCCCCAGCCTCTTCGCGACTCTCGGTCGTCTGCTCCCTGTCCGACCACTGTTCCGGCATTAGTAGCGGCGCGTCGTCGCCCCTGTCGCGGAGGTGAGACAATTCAGGAGCTACAGTAACCCATGGAGCCTTAGAAATTCGATCTCGGAGGCGCAGGAGACGTGGCGACGCGTGAAGGGGTATGACCGGCCGATTGGACAACAGGTGAGAGAGAGAGATAGAGAGAAAGCGAGAGAGAGAGAGAGAGAGAGAGAGAGAGGCGGGGAGAAGGAGATAAAGAGAGAAAGCGGGAGCGCGCCAGACGGAGATAGAGACCGCATAGGTCCAGAGAACGCGATTGTGCACGAGAGAGTGAGAGTGAGAACGAGAGAGGACTGAGGGAGCATGAGAAAAGGAGCGGGGGTTTGAGTGATAGCTCCATCTTGAGCGATACCATAGCCTTTTCAGCTCGAAATGGAGGCCCGTCTCCTCGCGCTGGCCCAGGAGAACGAGCGCCTGCGCGCCCAGCTCGAAAGGGGCGCCTCCGCCGCCAACTTGTCCATCTTCGACCTGCCGCACGCCGGCGCGTTGGCCCCGGGCGGCTGCGCGCAGATGTTCGACCAGGCGGCGCTGCAGAAGCTGCAGGTGGGCCGGATTCATCGGTTAAAGGGACCGGGAAGAGGGATTTGGGGGGGGGTTAGCAGAGATTCTTGGGGAGAGAGAGGGGAGAGATTCAGAGAGAGACGTAATTTGGATTTCAGGCCCTCTACCCGGGCGTCATGCAAAATGCTCAGCTGCCGATGCTGCAACTCTGCCAGCTGCAGGCGGCACTTCAGCAACAGGTGAGGGAGAGAGAGAGAGAGAGAGAGAGAGAGAGAGAGAAAAAAAGCGAGAGAGGATGTGAGAGAAAGAGCAGAGAACGGAGATGACGAGATCTTCGGGGCTGAATTTACCATATTTACAGTATCCCATCATGAACCCCTACCAAAATGCCGGCGGTGTACTGCTCCCCAACCCGCAGGCTCTGCCTGGACGACCAGGTATGAAACTCTAAACCGCCGCACAGGTTACCGTAACCCTCCAGGCCCCTCCTCGTCATCGACGTCGGCTTTCCAACCACCACAAAGTAGCGCTTCCGTGATTCGGCCGACTCGCCCACCAGCCAGCCCCGATTCGACGAGCGACGCGAAGAAGAAGCAGAAAACAACTGGTAATAAAATTTTATAAAGACGCTTTTTAATGCTTGTGAGCTGCTAAGGTATTTTCAGTATGGAAAATCTTACTGTAAAGTGTTTTTACTCAGGCTGGCGTTTTAGAATGGGACCAAGCCTATCTTGTGCAGAATTTTTCGCTGATTCCGAATCTGGTTTCCAAATTTGCTGCCGACCTTCATTTAAAAAGTTATTCGACATTTAGGCTAAAAAAATTGACTAAATCTGGATTTTTTGCGTTATTTTTTGAGTTGTCGTCACCTCCGACGTTAAAACTGGCTCGGTAATGGTTTTAGAGGTCAAAGCACGATTTTATCCAAAAAATCATGTGTTTTTGTGCAAAAAGCAAAAGAAATTGTGCAGGGCGGGGATCGAACCGCCGCCCTGCGCCTGGCAAGCGAACAGCTTACCAATGCACCATGGTGCCAACTGGGAAGGGGGCTTCGGGAGGGTAGATAAGGGGCACAACAATACCTGGACCCAGACAGGGAATAGTGGGCCAGCATCCGAATTTATGCCGTTTTTAAGCTTAATTTAGACCAAAAATCACTTTTCAACGCGAAGTCCGCAGCAAATTTGGAAAACGGGTTCGGAATCAGCAAAAAATTCTGAACAAGATAGGCTTGGTCCCATCCTAAAACGCCAGCCTGAGTAAAAACACTTTACAGTTAGTAAAAACTGTGCTCTTTAGAAAACGCCGCTCCCAGCACGCCGTCGACGAGTGGCAGTTCGCTGCTCGGGGCATTGCTGTCGAATCGGAGGTGTGTATTCCGTCGCTAAGGCTTAGGCTTAGGCTTAGGCTTAGGCTTAGGCTTAGGCTTAGGCTTAGGCTTAGGCTTAGGCTTAGGCTTAGGCTTAGGCTTAGGCCAAGGCAAAGGCTTAGGCTTAGGCTTAGGCTTAGGATTAGGCTTAGGCTTAGGATTAGGCTTAGGCTTAGGCTTAAGTTTAGGCTTAGGCTTAGGCTTAGGCTTAGGCAAAGGCTTAGGCTTAGGCTTAGGCTTAGGCTTAGGCTTAGGCTTAGGCTTAGGCTTAGGCTTAGGCGTAGCCTTAGGCTTAGGGTTCGCTTAGGCTTAAACTTAGGTTTTTCGCTATCACCAAAATCATCCGCTTTCCAGGCCCTCCCCCACCGTACCCCAGAGCTCGACGGAAAGCCGCAGCGGGCTAGCTAGCCCGCCCCGCGAGCAAAACCACAATAATCAGGTGAGCCGCTACAAAATTATTCACAAAACTGCTAAAAAGACAACAAATAGAATTTTTTCCGTATTTAGCCCCCGCCGATTGCCCCTCATCCTCGATCTCCTTGCCCGGCCGGCTCGTCGTCAATGTCGTCGGTGTCGCTGTCAATTTCCGGCAGTTCGAAATCTGGTGGGAGTTACGAACGTCTCTCTCTCTCTCTCTCTCTCTCTCTCTCTCTGTCTCGCTCTCTCTCACCCGAATTCTAGAAAAACCACGTAATTCCAGACTCGGAAAGCCACTCCTCCGCCTCGCTGTCCCCGATGGAGTCGAGCGGCCAACAACCCGAGGGTAGCAGAAAGGTAAGCCTAATCCTAAGCCTAAGCCTTTCATCCCAATAATTACAGCAGCAATACATGGAACGTCGCCGCCGAAATAACGAGGCCGCCAAGCGCTGCCGCGCCAACCGGCGCGCCGTCTTCGAGTATCGCAGCCATCGCGTTGAGGTGGGTCTTGGGATTTAGAAGAATCGGCCGGAAGCTCAAGACTATCGGAAGTGTCATGGCGAAATTTTGTAATTTCAGAATTTACGGTGCTGTGGCATTATCGGGGGGGGGGGAAACTTTCTCTCACCAGTCTAATTCTTTAATTTAAAAAGGAAATCTTTCTAGCCTGTTTTTGACCATTCCTAAAAGTTAAAACCTGGCAACTTGCCTTGAAAAAATACGAAAAATCTCGATTTTTTACTAAAAAAGCGATTTTTTCACCAAAAATCACCGATTTTCGACGACATTACGAAATTTCGCTATTATCAATTTAGACATTCTGCAATCATCCCACAATATCGAAATCCCGCACTCTCTTTAGTTTCGATATCACCAAATTTCGACGTGACGAGTTTGGGGGGTAAAGTCACTACCCCGAAAAGTCACTACCCCGGAAAGTCACTACCCCGAAAAGTCACGACCCCGAAAAGTCACTACCCCGAAATAATTTGCATGATTTTCATAGGAAATCCGCATGAAAACTGGATTTTTCCGGGAAAAACAATGCTATCATTTTTCGGGGGTAAACGATTTCGGGGTAGTGACTTTTCGGGGTAGTGACTTTCGGGGTAGTGACTTTCGGGGTAGTGAGTTTTCGGGGTAGTGACCGGACGCCGAGTTTGGGCATTGTAATAAAAATTCCCGAAAACTCTCAAAGTCCGATTTTCCAGGTACTCGAGGCCGAGAACCACGACCTGAAGAAGGAGATTGACGACCTGAAACGGGAAATCGAACGCTGTCGCAACCTAATCACCCAACGCGACCAGCTGTAACCACGCCGCAACGTACAAATATTATTGCCTCCACCTCGTCTTCCATCGATTTACATCACAAACGTTGATCTCCATGAGCCCTAATGAATAAATAGTAAAAAGCCTTAGGTCGAGTGCGCTTTGGTTTACGATTCCCAGTCACCTGATCGAAAAATCTCCTGATCGAAAAATCGCCTGATCGAAAATCGTCTCATCGAAAATTGTCTAATCGATAATAACTCAAAAATGAGTTTTAACCCATATAGAAGCCTAGAAAAACCCTAAATTTTTTGAGTTATTTTTAATCAGACGATTTTCGATCAGGCGATCTTCGATCAGGCGATTTTCGATCAGGCGACTGCCAACTTTGGTTTGCAGCTCCGTGAGATGGCTCCCCCTAGAGAGCATATTTTTCTACCTGAGCGTACGCTATGCGCGTTCCGCGTGAAAATTCCCTTCCGCACCTCTGTTCAAAGTTTCAAGCCACTGGGATTTGAAATGGCGGAATGCCTGCGTGACCTATTTTATTGGGGCACCCTGTTGATGCCCGAGAAAAAAAAGATTTATTGCGAGAAAAGTGTCATTGTGGACGTGAGCTATCCCCCCTTTGGCCACTCTCTGATCCAAGCAACGTCCTTACGCTGCCGTCGGGCTATTTCTTGTCGGAATTCCGCCGTCCCGCGTGCGCAGTTTTCGGCGATCAGCACCCGCCACTCGTCGAAGCGCTGGCAGCCACCGGTGAGATACCCGTTCCGGAGGATCTAAACAGATTTTGCGTGATACAGTGTGCGTCAAAAAGATAGGGACACCTTCTTTTTGCGATTATCTCCACCCTCATCGATTTTGAGCAGAGGGCAAATAGTGGGTCTTGTAGTGCTTGAAACGGCGCATTTTTTCATGTACTTGAAAAGTCTCTAAAATAAATGACGCCATTTTTATAAGCGAAAGAACAAAACAGAGCAGAAAAAAGAAGTGCCAAAAAGATAGAGACTTCCTTTTGACACACACCGTATCATTTTGGCCTGCGTTTTTCATGGGGTTTTCCTCGGGTATTCTTTCCTCCTTACCTGGGTCCTCTTGTCGATTTCCACAACGAGGTTCGGCCCACATCTCGATTCGAGCAAGCCTTTCAGCTCCTCAGGCAGTCGGTGGTCAGGCTTAATTCGGGATTGGCTCATTCTCGTTATCGTGGGGCGAAGAAGTTTTTCTGGGCAGGCGGGGGACTTCTGTTGCTCTTCTGTCTTTGATTATTATGCCAACCAGCGCCCAAAACCCGCGTCGCGGGGAAAGAAAAGACACGCGTTTTTAGCAACACGTTGAATATCCAGCACATGCTAAATAATTTAAGGGGGCTTTTGCCTTTCAAGGGTTCTCGAATGTTGTATGAAATCCGAGATTCGAGTTTTCTCCGGACGGTAAGCGTCTAGTCTACCCCCAGCCGTAACTTTTCAGCCATGTGTCCTATTAATGCGCCGAGTAAGTCAAAATGTTCGCCATGGTCGGATTACGAGAGCCAAATTGTTTTCTTACATCAACAATTGTTAGAAATTTTTTACAAGATTTTGAAAGTTGACAAGATTAAGCCGCTATGCATCAACGTATCAGGAGCCTAAAACTTAAATATTTTTAGTTTCCGCTATTTTTTTCGACTCAAATGCACTGTAGGCTGATTCTCCAGAGCAGGAGCTACATTTTGGTATTATTGACAGCTCTGTACGTCAAAAGATAGCCGGGATACGAAAACTCACTTTGGACCAGCAAAAATTAAATAAAGAAAACCCAGACTTATAATTGTTATGAAAAATTTTTCTAACAATTTTTCATGTAAGGAAACAACTTGGCTATAGTAATTCGACTACGGCGAACATTGGAGATACTCGGCGCATTAACAGGACGCATGGCTGAAAAGTTACGGCTGCGGGGTGGGGGGGATAAACTAGACTTTAGCCCTCCGGACCGCTGCAGGCTTTTTTTGGCCACCCTGTATTGATGACGTGTAAAACCGTGAGAATTGATTCTGGGGCAGATCGTATTCTGGACCCACGTCGTCATGGATGTGCATTATAAAGTAGAATTCGATACATGTGAGGCGTGTAGCACCGTCGAGGGGCGGATACTGCAAGGTGATTATTGGCGACTGTGATCAGGCTGCGAATACCTTGAAACTCATCACTTCCCAAAAAAATACTTGCAAAAATGGTTCTGTTAAGCTTAGAGCTAAGCTTAACTTGGCTCAAGCTAAGCTCAGGCTTTGTTGGTATGAAGCTAACCAGGGAACCTCGCGGAGACATGGTGGAATTTCGGAAAACGCTCGCGGCTACCCCCGGGTAATCGCCCATTGCGATCACGATGCGCTTGTCAGATTTTTCTAAATAGACCTGTGGACAGAGATACAGCACTTCCGGAAAATGCTGATTTACATGCAAAAAATTTGCATAGAAGGATGGTTTATGAGGCTCTCCCATCACTATGGAATCACCAGTTGAATGGCCGAGTGGTAAGGGATTCGCTTGATAGGATTCTAACGAGGGTTCGAATCCGCTCACGATTTTTTGTTTTTTGCTGTTTAACCAGAGATTTTTGTACAAGTCCAAAATCATACGTGCTAAAGTACCTGTAAATTTTATGACAGTTGTCGACGTTACGTGGTCAGAAAATTATTCTTGTAAAATTAAAATTTTTTTGCAGATGGTCAGGTGTAGGAAGTCTAGCCGGCAGAACCGATTTTCATTTTTCGATTTTTTTTTCGAACCATCCTTCTATGCAAATTTTTTGCATGTAAATCAGCATTTTCCGGAAGTGCTGTATCTCTGTCCACAGGTCTATTTAGAAAAATCTGACAAGCGCATCGTGATCGCAATGGGCGATTACCCGGGGGTAGCCGCGAGCGTTTTCCGAAATTCCACCATGTCTCCGCGAGGTTCCCTTGTAAGCCTAGTCTTTGGCATGGATTAGCTTTTCCAGAGGCTCCTAGTTTAAAAACGGCATTTGGAGCGACTTGTAGTCAAAATCCGGACTGCCCCCCCCAAATGCATTAGCACCAATTTTAAATTGACGGGGTTTTCGCGTCCAAACAGGGACAAAAGAGCCTGCGACGCGGTTGCGTTGCGGTCGCAATTGGGCTATCTTCCAGGAATCAAGGCAGGGGCCGTGGACCAGATTTTGGAGCTCCCTTGAAAGGCTCCATTGAAACCCATGGGCTTATTTTCAAAATGTCGAAATTTCATAGTGTCGAAATGTCAGAATGTCGAAATTTCATAATGTCGAAATTTACATAAGCTAAAATTCCCGGTAAAGTCCCCGAATTCTAGGCAAAACATGTTGTCGTGAAATAAGATAAAAAATAGAATGTGGCAAAAAATTTTTTGGTTAGGATTTGGCGGTTTCACCGATAATATTAGCCTATGTAAATTTCGACATTCTGACATTTCGACATAATGAAATTTCGACAGTATGCTTTTCGACATTATGATACCAATTCAAAGCCATGGCTTTCAAGCCGCACCCTCCTACCTTAACGAGTATATCTTGGAGCAGCACAGACCAGATGCTCATAGCTCTCGGCCAACAATCGTGGTAATTGTAACTGCCACAGAAGTAAACCTTTCTGATGTGAGCGACCTGCAATGGCGTGTTTTTTTGCGAGCTAGAGTTGTGTTGGGGATACCTGCTCGAATATTTTCGCATAGTCTTCCATTTCTGGCAGTTCATCGCGGCTGAGAGAATTTTCCAAGATTGATAGCTTGGCCTGAACGAAGGTCGGCTGCTTGCACGGTGTATTTTTCAGCCAGGTGGTAAATTGCCCTTGCTGTGCGCGGGGGCAACACCGTTCCTTTTTCCACCTACACACACCCGTCGATGATATCTAATATTTTTAAGGTTTTTTTAAGCTTACTTTCTTTTTTGATTGCTAAGAAATTAAAAAAAATTTGGAAATTTTGAAAATTCTGCAAATTCCGGCCCTTAGTTTTCATACATTTACCAAATTAACGAAAAGCCAAAAGTTTTCGAACATTTTTATTATTTTTTACCAGGGTTGAAAAACCGCTTCGCGGCTTTTCAACCCTGGCCCCGTCTTCTCCAATGATATTCTGGGCTTTGCATAACTTTCCCGGATTCGTATGACGAAAAATGAAAAATGCTCTTGCCGTCCCTTTATATAGGCTACCGCGACTTCCGGTGCATGCTAATTTGATCCTAACAAATTGGGGTGTCCGATTTTCCATGAAAAGCTTAATTTTAATGTCAAAAACATCATATTTTGTAAAATCTAATATGCGTGCAGCCATCCCCAGCCCATTACGCACCTAATGACGTATCGAACATACCCCTAAGTACTTCCCTTCTTGAGATACTACTGGAACACGGTGACGGAAGTTGCATGCAAATCCACACACACACCCACACACACACACAGACACTATTTTTTTATATATAGTAGGATATTGTTTTTCTATCTAAAAAACTATGTAAAATTCTATAAAAATCGGCTAGATTTTGTTATAGGGCCGTAGAGAAGCACAGGGAAAAATTTGGTCTCGTCTCCTCTCCCCCCGTAAAAATGCTCCCCCCGCTCACATTCCAGAACCACGTTTTGATGGATATACCACGTTTTTATGAAGACTATAAATAGACATGGATATCGCGTCAAGGCTTGATGTAGCACGACCAAGAAACCTACCGAAGAATTTTGCCGATCTGCGATCTGTCGCTCCGCGGCCAGCACTTTAGGCAAGGCCTTGATCCTCCAACCACTATAATTGCCCCTGATCGACGAGCGCAAGATATCGAGACGTTGGCGCACGCAGCCGCCGACCTGAAAGGCAATCAAACAAAATGCCAAAAAAGTGCCTGTGATTCCTGTGAAGGCTCGTACAAAGGGGGGTGCTCTATTTTGGGCATTTTCACACCCTAACTGTAAGTGTTTTTACTCAGGCTGGCGTTTTAGAATGGGACCAAGCCTATCTTGTTCAGAATTTTTTGCTGATTCCGAATCCGTTTTCCAAATTCGCTGCGGACTTCGCGTTAGAAAATCATTTGGGGTCTAAATTAAGCTTAAAAACGGCATAAATTCGGATGCTGGCCCACTATTCCCTGCCTGGGTCTAGGTATTGTCATGCCCCTTATTTACCCTCCCCAAGCCCCCTTCCTAGTTGGCACCATGGTGCATTGGTAAGCTGTTCGCTTGCCAGGCACAGGGCGACGGTTCGAACCCCGCCCTGCACAATTTCTCTTGCTTTTTGCACAAAAACAAATGATTTTTTGCATAAAATCGCGCTTTGACCTTTAAAACTGTTACCGAGCCAGTTTTAACGTCGGAGGTGACGACAACTTCCAAAATAACGCAAAAAAATCCAGATTTAGTCAGTTTTTTTAGTATAAACTTTGAATAACTTTTTAAATAAAAGTCGGCAGCAAATTTGGAAATGAGATTCGGAATCAGCGAGAAATTCTGCACAAGGTAGGCTTGGTCCCATTCTAAAAAGCCAGCCTGAGTAAAAACGCTTTACAGTAAGCTTCGTAACTTCTCAAATACGGTCGTTTTGTCGGGTTTGCAAACAGCGTTTTTTAAAACTCAGCGAAAAGATTAAAATCAGCGAAAAAGGTTTCACAAAAATAGGCTTGCACCGTTTGGAGACGTCGACTTACAGATCTGCATGCGATTTTGAAGAAATCCACGTCATGCGGTGGCATCGAAGCAGTCAGTCGGTTTATAAAGTTCAGCTGATCGGGCAGCGAATCGATGGTAACCAAGACCCTGGACTCACGTTCAGCGCTCCAGTATGGCATCGTGCTGTAAATATTTATTTGCGTATCCGAATCACCATTTTAATGGGGTTTTCTCATAAATCCCGAGGTTCCCTCATTCCCTCATTTTGAAAATTTGTATGATTTTTTGGTACTGTTCTATTTCGAGCGGGTGGAAAAACTGGGCGGGGGGGGGGGGGAGTTGCGACGCGGCACGCTACGTCTTTTTGCCATAACTATTTTTATAATACGTTTTTCTGAGTTGTAATTGAAACTCTTCGTATATTTTTTGCCGCTCCCTCGAATGACGTTGAAGAAATTTTGTAAAAATATCGAAAATGTCGGAAACTAGCTTTCGAATCTGCGCTCACTTATGGGAACCATTTGTAAATTCTTGTTTTTGCCATAATTCTTTGATGTTCCGTCATTTTGAGATGAAATTAAAACTTATAGGATATTTTTTGATGCTCTATCAAATCGTGTCTTCAAAATAACATAAAAAACTAGCGAAAATATTGAAAACTAGCATGCCAGCCCTAGTTTCAAAAGTTTTTTCCAGCACTAGTTTTTTGTGTTTGCTCTAACTTTTTTATATAACAACAGATTGAAGCTGAAACAAAGAAGCTTAGGATATTTTTTTAATGTTCTATCGAATGCCGTTGCAAAAATCCCGAAGAAATAACGAAAATATCGAAGTTCTGCCCAATCAAATCCCCCCCCCCCGCACAGTTTTTCCCCCGTTCGCAAAACAATAGAATTTATATCTAAAAACTATTCTCGAAAGCGATTTATATTTTGTTATCGGGTCGTAGAGAATCAGGGAAAAGTTTGGTTCCCCCAAAAATGACCGGTCCGCCCCCCGCTAACAGTCCAGAACCAAAAAAAATTCTGGCCAAGATAGGCTTTGTCTCGAATAGAATTTACAGCGTACGTAAAAACACTTTACAGTCAGTGCTGGAGTAACCCACGTGTCAGTGTGTACCAGCTTCATGGGTTGCGTCGGGCAGCCCAGGTCAAATTTCAGGGCGTTCCGGGCCGTTTCCTTCATCTGCAGCGAAATTGTGGTGCCGTGCAGAATGTTTTGCGAGTCGATTTGATATGCAGCCTGAAGATCGGTCGGCGATAGAAGTTGCTGATTCCCTGTCACGATTTTGAAAATCACCATTTCGAAAATCACGATTTCGAAAATCACCATTTCGAAAAGACACCATTTCGAAAAGACACCATTTCGAAAATCACCATTTCGAAAAGTCACGATTTCGAAAAACACCATTTCGAAAAACACCATTTCGAAAAAATCCCCAGTTCGAAAAGACCCGGTTTCAAACAGGCATAAAAATTGCAGTGTCAAAAAACCACGGTTTTTCTCGGATATGACTAGTGATGTGATAGAAATTGTTTTAGTGGTGTCTATAATGAAATTAATCATATCTCCAGTGGAAAAATAGACCCCCGAACCTCAAACCAGCCAACGAAAATCATTTTTTCTGCGACTGGGAAATGGGCTATTGCTAAATCCTGTTTCCCAAATGGTAATTTTCGAAATGGTGATTTTCGAAATGGTGATTTTCGAAATGGTGTCTTTTCGAAATGGTGTCTTTTCGAAATGGTGACTTTCGAAATGGTGACTTTCGAAATGGTGATTTTCGAAATCGTGACCGCCAACCGAAGTTGCTGCTACAAAAGCCTTACCCCGCATGGACAGTTTGCTTGAACATGGTGAAAGCGTCCGCCGAATAGAAAGAGATGGGCTGGCCTTTCGAGAAACAGCTGAAAGGGGAGATTTGCGACGAGAAAAATGCACGAATTGTGCCAACGCGAGCCGGAGAAAATTGTCTTACTAGGGATGTGCAAATAAAAAACCCAGCAAGCCGCTTAGCAAACTTATGGGTCTGATAGAGTCGGCGACGGGGATTCCGAAACTGCAATCAGAATTTGCAAAACGCTTAATACAAAAAAGTTATGAGCATTTTAATTTTTGCAGCACTTTCTACGCCCTCCTTTATGAGCCTCTCGCAAAGAGGGGTGTCCGCCTGTCGAGTGGGGTAGTGGCTAACTAGCCTGCCTTGGGGCGGAGGGTCTCTGGTTCGACACCCCGGTCATGCAAAACTTTTTGCTTTTTGGTCAAAGTCAACAACTTTAGACTTTTTCAGTTTCAAATTCGGATAACCTTTGCCAATCATTAAAGGGACACCGACGGCATGGGTCGATCACCCCTGATCGACTTTTTGGCACGTAGCTAACAGGGCAGAGAACGCGCCCAGGGGCGAGACGCAGAGACATTTTTTTCTCGCGTCACCGTTTACTTATACCGTCGTTATCCCTTTAAGACGATTTTCGATTACCATGCGATAAGGCGCGAGCAGCGAGAAAAGGCATACCTTGGCGACGCGGCGAAGCACGAACCTTTCCCCGAACAGTAGATGATGGTAGACAGCAGTTCGTTGGTTCTCCGTAAGCTTCAAAAACTCGAATCCGACCATCTCCGCCATCCTGAATCCCGTTTGAAAAATTAGAACGTACAGGGTGGGGGGGGGGAGTTTGCGGAGGTGCTGTTTGAACTAGAGATGTTATTATTCAAATCAAATCTGAGGATTTGAAAGTTTCTCAAATCAAATCCAGACTTGATTTGATTTGCCGGCAGAACCAAATCAAATCGGATTTGATTTGAACCGGAAGTCCATTTCAAATCAAATCCTGGACCGATTTGATTTGATTAATTTGAGCAACCCAAATTTCCGAAGCAAATGCGAGAAAATGGATGCTTATCAGCAATTTCCGGTTTATTCAATGATGATCATATTCAAAAACCCAAAATTTCCCTCTTTCCCAACATTTTTTGGTGCTCGACTTGTGATTTACATCCGTAAAAATGACTCCAGATTTGAAAGTATCTCAAATCAAATCTGGATTTGATTTGAAAGTCCAGCCAGTTTCAAATCAAATCCAGATTTGATTTCGGCGGAATCAAATCTCAAATCTTCTTATTCAAATCAAATCGGATTTGAGTAGGATTTGTTTTGAATAATCACATCTCTAGTTTGAACTCGTAAAAATTATATTCATGAGAAATTCAACGCCATCCTTTGTAGTGTCATCCCAGATTCAGATGTGATCTAGACAATTTCGAAAGTCAGATAGGGTCATTCACAGTCAAGTATTAAATTTCAGGCCCTTTCGCATTATCGGTTGGGGGCAAGATTTTGTCCTGGAAACCAATAATATTAATATATAATATAAATAGCGGAAATGTTTCCAAGCTGTTTTTTACTATTTCTGAACGTAAAAAGCTTACAAAATTGTTATTTAAAATAATACAAAAAACGAATTTTCGACCAAAAATGGCTTTTTTGGCCAAAAGTACGACTTTTTGACACAATTTTCAAAGTTTTGAGGCTACTAAAATGAAAATACCTCCTATTAAGCTTCCAAGCATTTCCAGATTAATACAAAAAATTCTTTCACATTCCGGGGGCATTTTCGACTTGGCTGTTCTAGGGAGTATAATCGGATCAAACGTGAAATTTTTGATCGGCGCGATTGTGACGAAAGAAACTCAGTCCCTCCCTTTTTAGCCTGTTATTAAAAATGCGTGCTGGATGGCCGGATGGAAGAAAAACTTAGCTATTCATGCCACCGAAAACTTGCTCCGCACCCTCTAAGTGTCTGGATTTCAAACAACCGCGCTCATGTTGGTGACCCGGACAGTGAATTCGTGTACGCGCCCACTCCTTACGCAACGTAATTCCGGATGATGATGATTTTGGGCATCGTGGGTGCGGCCAGACCTCGACAAAACGCGGCCCCGGCCGGGCCATGCCCGGCCCAAAAAATCGGGATTTTGCGGATGAGAATTCAAAAAAGCCGGGCCGGGCCGACATTTTGGCTAAGTAAAAAAAATAGGTTTTTGACGGAAATTGCGTGCTATTTTACCATATTTATCGCTCGCAAATAGCCTATTTGGCATTGAGATTGAACCTCAGTCAAAATTTGGACCTTTTTTTTAGTTCACCCTTACCAGGAAATCGACCCGGGTTCGACCCCAGCCGGAGTCATTATGTTGCCATTTGGATTTTTTAGTCATTCGGACCGCGTTTTTTTCATAGATGCATAACGTGCATCATAGTAACGTATGAAGCATTAAAATATCCACTAAAGTAGCTAACTATAGCTAATATCCCAAATGGTTGAATTTAACCTTATTATCCTGAACTCCATCGAAATTTATCGCTAAAAATTGTTGATAACTTAAACCTTGAATTTTCTTGGCGGAAAAGCTGTAAAAAGGACACATTAACGCTGTATTAACAGCTCCTGGCTTCAGCACCTTCAGCTCCAGTACCTTCAAAAGGTATTAACCCACTTTGACGGGAGGGTTTTTGGTCAATCCCGGTTTTGACCCGGAAAAGTCGGGCCGGGCCGGGCCAAGAAAGATCGCGTCGGGCCGGGCCGGGCCGGGCGGGGGAAAAATGCGGTTGCCGGGCCGGCCCGCGTCCAGGCCTGGGTGGAGGCGCGGTTCAGGCGAGGAGAAGTCCACTGGTGGAGACGGCCATGCACACATCGCCGGATGGGGGTTCCCTCGACTTCATTTCAACTCGCCTATTTCCATCTGCTGCTACCATTTAGTCTAAATATTATTGCGTCCTGACTAGTGATGGTATTATTCAAATCTCAAATCTAATTTGCATCCGCCTAATCAAATCTGCTGGTTTGATTTGAATAAGGTTTCAGCACTTCAAATCAAATCGATTTGATTTGGACTTGGAGGTTTGAGTTCAAATCTGAAGATTTGAACGAGGATTTGAAAGGAGTCGAAAAAATCAATAGCTCATTACGCGGATGCTAATTGTATGATGGCATGCATAATCAAGGTAATTTCCGGTTCGCGCCAGCTCGGCCATAGTGATTTTCTTATGTTTTGCATGCCGGCATCTCAATAAGATTTGATTAAGAACCGGAAGCTTAATCAAATCCTCAGGATTTGATTTGAACTCGTCTACGGGATTTCAAATCAAATCCGCCGATTTGAAATTGAAATTTTTGCCTTCAAATATTCAGATTTGAGCTCTCAGATTTGAGTCAAGATTTGATTTGAATAACCCCATCACTAGTCCTGACCTATTTTTGGTCATAAAGCTCTTAGAAGTTTGTTATATGGTAAAAATCCAGTCCTGGACTGTTAGCGGCGCGGGCCTTTTAGCCGGGGAAAACCAAATTTTTCCCTGTGATTCTCTACGGCGTGTAGAAGTGACCAAAAAAGATCAAAATTTTCGAATTTTCAACCTTTTTATAACTTTCTAGCAATCAAAAACTACTCAAAACACTATAAAAATACATAATATAACGTCAACAGGTGGGCATACAGCGAAAAACAAAAAGTGGTCCCCCTCTAGCAGTCCAGAACCAAAAATCCTAGATTTCCTTTTTAGCCTAAAAACTGCGCAGAAAAGAAGCAGTGTTGTATTTTTCCCTGACCATGCGAACATGCCGTTCGTTTCTGCTCAAAACATTAAGCGGTCCATATTAGGGTACGGCAGATACCTCGGTAGGAAGTAGGTTCGTTTATGTATCGCATTAAGAAACAACGCAAATATCCTTTAATCAACAGCCGATTTCGTTTAGTTTTATGTTATATCAGGGGCCGGATGGCAGCTTTGGGCTAAATGAAACGCCAAAAATTCACGAACTCCAATCGCTCTTAACCAAGTACAAGTCGAATCAGAGGGTGACGTATCACCCTAGGAGCTCCAGAAACCAAATTTAAATTTTACTCACAAAATGCACCTGACGGACAACTTTCGAACCGACAGTGCCTCGACAGTTTCTGGTTCTGCAATTCTTTACAGACGTTGTTTGTTCTTCGTTTTTTTTGTTCTATAAATAAGGCTGCGTGAGGCTTTATGCCGTAGGAAATCTGAAAAACTGGCCACCCGGGAGAAAATTAACAAGTTTAACAACAGTTCAGAGTAAAAAGGGCAGCACAACGTGACATAGTATATAAAACAGAAACGTATCGTGGACAAGGATCTGCTTAATGATTTTTCAGCGTTTCGGGGAAGTAGACGTTCGGAGCTCCTGAAAAAAAATCTTAGTTAATTTCAGCAAAAAACTGTACCTGCTCGACAATATCCAAATCGGACAACCACATCTGGATGACGGTTCTGGACTGGGTAGCTTGAAGACGTGTTTCCAGATGTCGAATGTCCGCTTCGAGCTTCGACATCTCGCCCCGTCGCAGTCTTCGGATGGGCACGTCGAGCAGGTAATCGTATTCGGGATTCTAGAACGGAAGTTATAAAATCCGGCTCGGGGGGCGCATTATCGGGGGGGAGTGGGCACTCTTTTGTATAAATCTAGAAATGTCTAGTAACTTAATAGGCAGTGCTTTAAAAGTGTTTTTAGTAACATGTAAAAATATCGCAATTAGAAAAACCAACTTAAAACTTCAAAAAAGTTTTTAAAAGACGACATTTTAATCAAAAATCGGCGATTTTTTGTCGGAAAATCGATTTTTTTTTCAAAAAAATTGTTAAGTCTTCACGTTTAGGCATGTAGAAACCGTTTAAAACACTTCCACAGTCTATAGTTGCCAAAAATAGATCATCAGGAAAAGCCCCCCCGATAATGCGAAAGAACCTAAAAGCTTTTCTCAGTTCCGTAAACGAACCTTTCCCACTCTCCGCGGATCCGAATGGTAGCCTCGCTCCACGAGACGGCCCACAATCTCGTCGTCGTTTGGCTGGAGTCTTCCCTCGATCACGTCCGCCATGAATCGATGCTAAACACGAATTGGTTCTTTCGCATTCTCAGGGAGAAAGCAACTTTTTTCTAGGGATCTAACTTTTTTCTAAGGATCTAATTTTTAGGATCTAATAACCAACTGTCTATAAACTAAGCCTGAAATTTTTACAAATTTTGATAAAAAATGCTAGAAATCTATATTTTTTCGACCAAAGCTTCCAAAAACAAGTTTTTTAACTTTCCTGATTGTTTTCCATTTAAAATACAGTTAAAATTTAATTAACCACTACGAAAACGTTTACTATTACTTTACTAGGCATTTATGGAGTTATAGGAAAAATTTTGACCCCCGATAATGCGAAAGAACCGAAGAATCACAGAATTAACAAAAACTACAAGCCGCACCTGATTACGCGCCAACGTAAGCTTGGCCTCGATCCCGGCCATTTCGCGGGCTTTTCGCTCCTCATAGAGACGATGGCGAAAGGCAAAGTGGTCGGCGAAGATGTCGTCGGTGGATTGGTAGTGTTTGATGAGAGAAGCCGGGTCGTGCAGCACCTAAACAATGCTTTAAAAAGTCAGTTTTTGCGGCCGATTTCATTTTGTCCAAATTTGGTCCTTTAGGATTCGCGGAGGGACCAGCTTTTTCCTGGCGTCCCGGACGGCTTAGTAATCAGATACCCAGTGTTTTTACATTGTTTTTAGTCAGTATATTTAAAGCAAAACCTCTCTAAAAAGTAGAAAAATGTTTGGAAAGGTCGAAAATTTGGTCACTTTGGACCGAAAAAAATCAATTATTCGAACTAAAATTTTAACCAAAACCAGGGTTGAAAAGCCGCTTCGCGGCTTTTCAACCCTGGCCCCGTCTAACCCTATGATGTTCTTCGTTTTGCATAATTGTGCCCCAATTCCGATGACAAAAAAATGAAAAACGCTCCCTTTGGGCCTTAATATAGGCTGCTGCAACTTCCGGCGTATGCTAATTTTATCCTAACAAAGTGGGTGTCGGAATTTTTAAGAAAAACTTAATTTTAATGTCGAAAACCACATATTTTGCAAAATCCGATATGTGTGCAGTCATCTCCAGCCCATTACGCATCTAATGACGTATTAAACACCTCCTCAAACCCATCCCCTCTCGAGATATCCTCCGGACACCCTGACGGAAGTTGCATGCAAAGTGTCACACACACACACACAAACACTATTTTTTTATATATAGTAGGATTTGTAAATTTTTTGTTTAGGAATAGTTAAAAACAATGTAAAAACGTCGCCGCTGGTTATAAAAAAATTTAGGCTGGCGCCAAAAAAAGGTTCCACCCGCGAATCCTAAAGAGCGCGAAATTCAATTCTGTCGAAATTTCGATGCCTTGTTCGTTTCGTCTAAGCCATATCCAAGATTTCGCAAAATTGGCATTGAGCGCATCGAAATTCCAATAAAATCCAATTCCGACAGAATGATTTTCGACAAACTGATCGAAATTGGTTTTTTTGAGCGGTAATTGGCCGTAAAAGCTTGAATTTTACACACCATATTACTGGTCCTCAACGTGCGCGCCATTCGTAGTTGCGGGTCGGCCAGAAACCGGGCGCCCATCCCGGCGATGCGCAAGTTGGCGGGCAAAAGTGGTGGATGGATGAGGTCGAATTCGAAGTGCACTTTGTTCTCGGTGTGCTGCTCGGAGAGGCCCCTAAAAGCAGAATTAGAAAACGACACAAAACATACTTGATGATGCCCTCTTTCTGCAACGCAACAATCACGTCGCGCCTGTAGTCCTCGGTCCAGACGCGCGCCGGCAGCTCCGTGATGCAGATACGGGTTCGCTCAGGACCCTAAAACAACGTAAGAAACTAGAACCTCGAACTAACGTGAATTTTCAGCACTCGAATGACGCCTTGGACTTTGTAGGAATTTCGCTCTTCTTCGGCCACGATGCCCCCTGTGAAGCCTCGAAAGTGCGGAATCTAAAAGCAAAAATGCAAAAAAAAACATGAAAACGTCAAGAATGCCTCCAAGAATTTATTAGAGCTTCCACTGTATGAGAGCCACAAAAATCACCATCTTGTGCGTCGGCTTTCCTTGGATCAAGCGTCTGACGTTTCCAATGACGTCGCTTGGATTGTAGGGCGGGACCGAGCTGGACCATCTAGATAATTACGCTATACACCAACTAAATCTTAACGTACCCCGTTGCCAGTCCTTCGCATCCATTGAGCAATACGGTAGGTACCACGGGACACAACCTAAAAGTAGCGTGCAAAATGTTCCAACAACCCCCAAACCATTTCGGCTCGGCCCGTTGCCCCTCCTCAACCACAAATTCCAGGCTCGGCTCATCCTGTGCCGGAAACAGCAGCCGGGCGACGGGGCTGAAAACGAACCGTATTAGTAGCGTTACGTACGCAAATCGATACCTCAACTTGGTGTAAATGTAGCGCGACGAAGCGGCGTCCTCTCCACCGGTGAATCGAGTGCCAAACTGGCCGATTGGCAGCAGAAGCGGGACATTGTTGGCGCCGACGAAATCCTGGGCCAGTCGCACGATTGCGCCCTCGAGGGAGGCCTGGAAAGCACGGGTTCAAATCGCTAAAAAATCCGCAGTTTTCGGATTCTTGATCTTCGTTTTCCACAGCCTTTCGATTTCGAAAAATTTATGATTCGTTTCCGAAAACCACTCCGGCCTAGGTAAGTTTAAATAAAAAACGCTTTTCAAAGGTCGTGAGAGTATCAAAAGTCTTCTTAATCGTTCTAGCATTGTTTCAAACTTTAGCGGCAAAAGTTTAGCCCTTTTAAAAGAAAGCTAATTTCAGAATTTCGAGATTTGCACGCGCAAAACCCGCGCCAAACCCGAAAAAGCTATTCAAAAAATGTCGGCATATCGAAATTTTGACATTCTTAAACTCCGAGCTTATGATTTTCGACATTCTGATACAAAATACATGAAAAGCCATACCTCGGCATGATGGTATGATTGCGCCAACGCGACCGCCGATGCCAACTGCGACACTTTGCTTTCGGCGTCGCGACTTTGGCTCAAGCAGGTGTACAGCACCTCCCGCTGGCTCCGCTTCAGCCCGTCCATCACGCTCGGGATGTGGCGCTAAATGTAGAGATACGCCAGAAAAAAGGCCCAAATACCCGGATGCTGAGTAGCGTATATCGAAACAACTTTTGGTCGACGAATTCTGAGTAGGTGATGCCGTCGCTGGACCGCAATACCTTGACATCATCGCCCTGCTTGGCTAGCTCCTAGAATTATCGATATACAGCATAAAATAGATTTCTGTTACCGTATTCCTTCGCTGATACCAGCCCCTCCTTGCCGCTGATTTGCACGGATCAAAAGCCATCTGTAGCTGCTCATCGTCGCCAGCGCTCCAGCTAATTTTGCAGTAAGAAAGAAAAGACAATTTTACCCACCGAAACGGCACGACATGTTGCTCCAAATTCCGAAAATACTCGAGCGCCTCTTGAGAGGTGGACGTGCCCAACCCCTTGTAGTATTTGATTTTCCACTTGTGTGCGTCCGGCTGCCGGTCGAACCAGCCACGGAACTCGGACTGCGAGAAGAAGTTCATCACCTCGTCGCCGCGACGGGCCTGAATCAGGGAAATCTGGCTCGACGAACTCAACAAACGTTGATCAACGCCGTCAGGAAGCTAGAAAGGAAGCCGGTGCGTAGAAAAGCTGGCCCGAAGTGGCCGATGAAATTGATGACGAGGCCCTTGACGCGCGCGCCGTCGTCGTCCTGCAAAATTAGCGAAAATCGAAAAATGCCAGCAAAATATAGTCATAGACTCATAGGTTTTAGAGTCCTTTATTGATTAAAGCGATTGGGGAACTCAAAATACGTCTCAAATCAGCCAAAAACCCAACCTGGTCTGCCAACAGCATCAGTTTTCCATAGCGAAGGGAATCGAGGTCGGCTTGCGTTTCGTACGTCCGATTTTTATCCAAATTCAGCGCCGCACAAAGCGCTAGAATCTCCTTGTTGGCGAAGACCTAAAAACTATTGCCTTTTTACTTTTTTTTTACAGGCGGTTTCGCCGACGCTTGCGAAGGAAACATTTGTCCTATTTTACGTGGGCTTTTCGTCGATGAATTCCTGATTCAAGACCAAAAAAAGGCCTACCCGCGCCTCAGCCGCGTCCTGCACGTTCAGCAGCTTCCCGCGAATCGGCAAAATCCCGAAGCGATCACGACCTTTGGCCTAAAAGCCGCTTACAGTAAAGTGATCCTGGACGGGATCGAAATTCGACATCAGACTACGCCTACATTGTGTAGAATTTTTCGCAAATTGCGATCCTGCTTTTAGAAACCGCTCAATGACCATTTTGCAGAAATTAAATGATGTTTAGCTGAAAAAGGCAGAATGGCACCATTCTCCGTAAAAAAACGGCGCTTTCGAATGCGCTATACCAAGTCAATTTCTTCAACAATTGTCGAAAATCGGTTTCGTTCTATACATGTACACATTCCGCCACGTTTAAAACCGCATTTGAAGCAAGATATGGGAAATTTGACGTGGCAAAGCTCATTCTAAAGAGCCGATTTTTCTGAGCATGATGCACTAATGGATTTTTCTTGAACATTTTTTAGCCATTAAAAATGTGCCGTTTTTCGGCGTTTCTGAGCTAAAAAGCCTTGTAATTTTTTAGCAGTAACAGTAACAGTAGTTTCTAATTCGGGATCGATGATTCGGGATCGGCAAAAAATTCTGCACAAACTAGGCTAGGTCTTATCGAATTTCCATCCTGACCAACAGCGGTTGACTGTTAGAACTAGACTTTACCTCCAGCCCGGCCATTGCAAACGCTTTTGCGGAATCGCCCTCGGTGATGATCAGCGTGCACTCGTCGCCTAAAACACGAATCTTCAAGTAAAATAGTCACGGCCACTCACGCCTCTTCGTGCCCGCCCAATTCGCGTCAATTAGCTTCTCCACCTCGGCGGTGGCCAGTTTCCGCTTGGGACGCTGAAATCACGGTATTATTTGGGATAAAAAAACTGAGAGTCCAACATTATTCGCCTTTGTATTCGACAAAATCTCTTCCAGAATCCCCGCCTCCTCGGCCCATTGCTGCAGCTTCTTGACGTCCAACTCGAAGGAGGAGCCGAAATGTTTTGGAGTAGTCGTCAGCTCTTCCTAATAATTTTGCATTAGAATAAAAAAACAAAACAAACAATGTTGCACGCTTTCGCCCCGTCGACGAATTCCGAGTTGCTGGTGCCGCCGCTGGAGCCCGGCATGACGGCCCCACTGTCTTGCACGTATCGGGAACTTCGACGCTAAAATTCTCAATCTATAGCTTAAAAATATGTCTGCACCTGGGCCGATTTTTGCGAAAAATCCTTGAGTGCCTTCTCCAGCTCATCCCATCTGTCAACATAGATTGATCTTGTTGGAAACGGGTGCACGGGGGGTTCAACCTGAAAAAAATCACTTGTCTCGCGCCGAGGCACACAATCCAGGGCGTAACGTTAGTCAGGCCGAGGGGCACCTATCCGGCTACGCCCATGCACTAAGACAACGATTGCTAAGAAATAAAACTGACGCAGTTCTGCCACACGACGCGGTTGGATACATCTTTAATAAACGCGCACACGTATCTGTGCTCCAAAAATAAACTCTAAATGGAAATTTGTCTAACAAGTTACTGCGACACTACCGCTTCAAAATCCCTGAAATGGCTGCTATCCAACGGCTCATCTCTTGTGAACGCAAGTCGATTCACGAATAGTCGCTCCGGAAATTTGCCTAATAAAATGATGCGGGAACGTAACATTGACACTGACCTGACAAAGGTGGCGGTCGACACTTGGCATTTCTCGTCCGACACAAAAAGATAAATTGCCTAAAATTTTAAATTTGAATGGTAAGCGAATCAGTACTGCTCCGGGCCGAGGTCGCTGTAGATTTCATCCAGTTCAATTTTGACGACCCTTGCGATCTAAATATCACAGAATGAAAATCGAATCAGCCGAATCAAACTTACGTCTCTAATCGCGAAATCAATGCAACTTCCGCGTATCATTACCCGATACAAATGCTGACCTTGAATGTCCATTACTTTCTTGATTTTATTTCCTAAAAAGCACGTTTAATATGCGAAGGCAAACGGCATGACAAATCCGGAAAGTTGAGAAACCTGATTCATTAGAAACATGACATAAAGGCAAAAAATTTGACACTGACGGTCGAAAGCGCCTTAGAAAGCGGAAGAGGAAAAACAAGTACCCCCCCGCCAACCGGCACCAACTTTTGTATATCGGCCCTCCATTGTGCTAGCGAGCTCTAAAGTATACCAAAATGTTCGCAGTAGGCTGATTTGTAAGAATACATTGCATTTGAGTCGCAAAAAAGGAGTGAAAAATAAAAATAAGGAAGGGTAGAAAAGTTGAAAAGTCGGCTGGGGAGTTTCCTAGGCTTTAGCTCAGGTACAAAAGACGATGCAGAAAAATTCCGCGTGCGGGTGCAAAATCGTCGGTCAGCGCGCGTTGCGGCATCATTTTTGAAAAATTTGTCTCAGCAGCTTTTCGCTCGATCTAAAGTGAAAACCGGAAAGTACGAACTTCCGGAGCTGAGGAGCTAATAGCTCCAATACCAATGATCCAGGGTAATTTTCTGCCTGCTTCCTAATCACCTTATACAAAAGCGCTAAAAATATTTTCTAAGGGATTTGTGGCCCTGTCAATTCCGCGAATGATGTTCTATGTTACCCGCGCAAAACATAAGCTTTGGTCGTGAAAGGCGAGTTTTTTTTCATGCGCAAGCCTTTTCAAACTTTGGTAATGCCGCATCCATCAGGTTTTTTAAAAAAGCGGGTGCCTATTTTAAAAGGGCTAACGGGGAGCTAAGCTCCGCGGAATCGATTTGCTAGCAATCTTCACTGGCTTCGTGGCACCTATAAAAGGTGTTTTAAAAACGTTGGCGAGCAATATTTCACTTCAGATAATACTGTCCACACCACCTCCGATCACACGATGCCAGGCCCGTAGCGGAGGCGGAATTCGGGGGGCAAGATTTTGACGACTTTTTTCCTAGATGGACCGTATCGAATCGTTGTCCACACACTCGATGCATGGCCGACGTGGCTGAGTTTATGCTGGACGAGGCTTTGAGGTAGTTCGCTGTTTTTTTTTTAGGATTTCCCATCAGCATAACGATTTTTCTTTCTTGAAATTGACCTATCAATTTGAGATTCCGAGAATTCGATCGAGAGTGTATCCTCCAGCTCTAAAAAATTCGAAAAGCTTCTAAAAGTTCTCGATTTTTGAAATCCGAGATTCCGACTTTCGATTCGGACAGTTTGCCTTTTTACGAATCTTCCAACCTTAATTTAGAAATGACATCCGGCGCTTCATCATCGATCTCGGTGCCGAAAGCCGGGAAAATTACAATTCCGATTTGGCAAAGTTGGACTTCCAGATTTTATCTAGGTTTGTTTTTCAGAATCAAGCAGCTGCACCGAAAACTCAGCCGCGAACAGGCAAGGGGCGTTGATCTGCAAAAATTCGACTGTTATCGAGGGTCTGCCCGGGGCTGATATGACAATGATCAGTTTCAATTTACTGTTTTAGGCAAAAGCACAGCCATGGGCGCCGTCGTCAAGTGCTTCTTGCTGTTCGCAAAGTCAGTGCTCGTCACCTCGCACACGTCGTCGTCGACAATTTTCGCGGATTTGCCCGAGGTATTGGCAAATAAATCGGCTTCATGATTTGTGTTTTAGGACATCCCCGCCGATGACATGCTCCGGATTGGGAACCCGAAGTCGGTGAAGGAGGTTTGCCATAGCAGCCCTGGTTTTCCTTGTTCTAATTTTGGGCTTCTCATCCCTGCATCGAGGAGAAGCTGAAATCGATCATCACCGAGCGCTACGAGGCGATGAAGAAGACGCTCACTTCCGTGGTGCGATTGGGGTTCAAATCGTGTACGAATTGTGGAAAAATGTTTTTATTTTCTTTTTTAAAGCGCGTCTTTCAGAAAGTTGTCGGGGCAACGTGTCTATAGTGTGCCGCCTCCGCTCTTCTCTTTCCGGAATTTTGACGTCTGCCTGGTGGATGAAGCCTCCCTAGCCGTCGAATCGTCATTGTTGGCACCGCTTTCTGTAGGGTGATTCGGCGGTTTTTACCTACGTATATTTAGGCGTGCTCCCGCTTCGTGCTTGCCGGCGACGCCCCAAGCAGCTCGCCCCCTTGGTGCAAAGCCGCGAGGCAAAGTATGTATCGGTTCAAAAACAGTACTTTACTTTTTAGGGAGCTCGGCATGGACGTCTCCCTCTTCGAGCGGCTGCAGGTGCACAAGGAGGCCCAGGCAAGCCTCACACCGCATTGCCGCGCTTGCCTCCAAACTGTTCTACGACGGCTTGCTGAAATGCGCGACCGACGGGGTGGCCGATGGTCGTCTACAGTTCCGGAAAATCTTGGAAGTGGTGAGGAACTAAAACCCGAATTTCGAGACTTTTTCCAGCGGCTATCTCTCTCATTTTTTCGCCGCTCCTCGCGCATTCTGTCGTCTTTGTCGACACCGATTCGGCCGGAAATGATGATGCAAAAGTAGGGAAATTGAGATATGATTTTTTGAAGAAATCGGAAAAATGTGCTCTTGCAAGTCGTCGTCAAACTCGGCAGTTTAGGATCTCCGAGCTCCCAAGACTTATCAAGAATCTTGGCGCGCCATCAGGTATCCCTAAGTCTTCTTCAAAAGGAGCTAATTATCGTTAGTATCCGAGCTTCCGGGCCTGAGATATCGCGACTTTGAAAGGGTCGTCTCTCGACTTTAAAAAAACACGTTTTGAGTACTTGCAGATTTGATCTTCTACTCCGGCAGTCCATCAGTCGGAGCATCAGCAGAAGTCAGCTCAAGACGGAGCATCAGCAGTCTCGCCGAGACGACATGCAGGCGTTTTATGTTTTGTTTATTAGATAACACGAAAAACAAAAGATAACAGCTATTCATTTTTCACTCGTCGGCCTTTTCTGCGTTCGGCCATTCTTTCATCCATTTCGCGGGTTGCCAGGAAGTCTTGATTTGCTTTTCAAGGAGTCTTTATGCAATTTGCCATTTGCTGTATTGCTGTCTCCACAATGCTGCCCGAGATAAATGTAGACTTCATTGGTTGCTATTTGGTTCGGAACTCTGCTTGGGAACTATTTTTCGATTTCAAAGTGGAAGTGCTTCTAAATGGTTTTTCCTATATGAAAAGAAAAACTATACAAAATTTTATTAAAAAGAAAAAATATTTCTTTTTCTATTTCTGGATTTTTCGACCAAAAATGGCCTAGCTTTGAGCAAAATGTCGGCTTTTTCAAAACTTTTTAGATAGTCTTCTAGTGTAAGTAGAGCTATTTTTTACAAAAAAAAAAGGATAAAAAACGCTTGGTATTAAATTACTAGACATATCTATACCCGTATACAAAAGTTTGCCTTTCTCGATAATGCGAAAAAACCATTTATTCTTGATGCGGCTCGTGTTAACAACTAACTGTTTAGATCCTCCCAAGACTTTCGCCAAGACAGACTTGCTATAAAATGTTTTTACTCAGGATGCCGTTTTGGAATGGGACCTAACCTACCTGGTGCAGAATTTTTTGTTGATTCCGAATCTGTTTACCAAATCTGCTGCCGACCTTTGTTTAAAAAGTTATTCGGCATTTATACTAAACCATTGCCAAAATTGGATTTTTTTTGCGTGATTTGTAATTTGTATCCACAACGTTAAAACTGGCTCGGTAACGGTTTTAGAGGTCAAAGCACAATTCTATGCAAAAAAATAAGCAAAAAGCAAAAGTAATTGTCCCAGGCGGGGTTCGAACCGTCACCCTCTACTTGGCAAGCGGACACCGGGGGAGGGTAGATACTGGTCACTGCCGGTCCTCGAGTCACGTAGGGAATAGTGGGCCAGCCGCCGAATTTATGCCCTACTTCAGCTTGGTTTTCACCTACAGGACCTTTTAAATAAAGGTCGGCAACAGATTTGGAAGACAGATTCAGAATCAGCGAAAAATTCTGCACAAGACAGGCCTGGTCCCGAATGAAATTTCCAGCGTATGTGAAAACACCTTACAGTGAATAAAATCACTTTACAGTTAGCGACTTTGCGCTGGATGTAATTTGGGTGCAGTGAGTACGACCGGAGCCAAAGCCTTTATTCTTTCACAACTTTCCCGGACCGGGCGGTCGCCCCCTGGTGCCCGGTTTTCATGTCCTCGCCGGGGTGCCCTTCCGGTTTTGGCGGCTGATGGGCGGCGGTGATTGGTTGTGGATCTTCGACGGGAGCCGTTTGGGGTGGTGGTGGCGTGGGTTGTCGCTGCTGCTGAATCTGCGACGGCGGCGGCGGTTTCTTGCCCGACTTTTCGGCGCCCTCCCGCTCGCGCGAACCACCGGCGCGGGGCTTTTGCCTGAAACGGATTTGACTTGTCGTGATTTTGGCTGTCGGGATTATGGCTGTCGGGATTATGGCGTTTGCCCAGGGAAACGGTACTGGACTGTTAGTGGGGGGAAGCGAATTTTTCCCATTGACCCTGTACGGCCCTAAATTAAATACAAGCCGTTTTTAGCGCATTTTACACAGTTTTTAGATATCGTAACCTCCGCAAATAAACTGGTTAAAATTTTTTTGGCAAATTTTCGACTTTTTGGTGAAAAATGACCAAAAAAGGAGAAATTTTCGAATTTACAAAAATGAATAAAATGTTTTTGTAACTTTCTAGCAGACAAAAACCACTAAAAGTATTATTAAAGCACAAAATACCGACTCATTATCAACAGATCGGTGGAAAACAAGAACTGGTTCTTTGGCATTATCGGGGGGACCAAATTTTTTTATATGTCTAGAAATGCTTAGTAACTCATAGCAATTCTTTTAATAGTGTTTTCGGTAAAAAGGAACTATATTTCAACCAGAAAAGGTTGAAAAATCGATATTATTGTGGTTTTCACGTTTAGGAATAGTAAAAACTATTTAGAAACACTTCAGAATATTTGAAAAATTAGATGCTCAGAAAAAAGTTGGCTTCTCCCCCCGTTAATGCGGCAGGACCCTAAAATTAGTTCGAAAAATTAGTTTTTGGCTAAACTCCAGAGAATCCTCCCCAGCCGACCCATACCTACCGTATCTCGGTTCTCTGTTCATCTACAGGTGTTTAAAGTATACGAAAAAATTCGCCAGAGCCAGACGAACATTTTGGTATGCTTTACACACCTGTAGATGAACAAGGAGCCGAGATACGGTAGGTGGGGTTCGGCTGGGGGGTATCTGGAGTCTTACCTAGTTTTCTTGCCGTTTTGCTAATACTCTACGCACCTGCCCGTCCGCTGACTGTCCCGCGACATCTGGCGACCCGTGCGCACGGATTCGCGCGAGCCCAGGGCGCGCTTCTTGGTGCCGGTCTTCTGCTCCTTGTTGTCCGGCTCCTTCGATGGCTTCAGCAGACGTCCACTGCGGAACTTGGACAGCAGCGCGCCGACGGCCGGGAAGTTGGCGGTGGCGTCGAGGTCGGTCTTTGGCTCCTCTCGCCCTCGTCGGCCTCCTGCGTCTCGGGCGCGCGCAGGTCCTGCGGCAGCGACGGGATGAGGCGCAATGTGTCGTCGTCGACCTAGGATTGGTACTGAACTGTTAGCGGGGGGGGGGGGGGGTGGTGATTAATTTTGGAATTCCAGCCAATATCCCGACAGCCAAAATGGGATCTTTCCTCGTTGGTCGTACCGATACTACCTACCGATTCCTCAGTCTTGTGCTGCGTGCCGTCCTTGGGCCCTGTCTTGTGCTTGCCGTGGCTTTGCTTTGACGGCTTGGTGCGCCGCTAAAAGTGTGCGGGTTATTTTGCCAATATTTCCGATCTTTCCACCTCTTTGATCGTCAGGGAGCGTTGCGTCTTGGCGTCCTGTAGTAATTCCTGGAAAGGGGGCATTTGTTGATAAAAAAGCTCAACCTTAGGCTTAGGCTTGGCTTATGCTAGGCTTCGGTTTAGGCTCAAACTTAGGCCTAGGGTTCAACTTGGCTTAGGCTTAGGTTTAGGCTTGGATTAGGTTTAGGCTTATGCTTAGGCTCAGGGTTAGGCTTAGGCTTAGGCTCAAACCTAGGCTTCAGCTTAGGCTTAGGCTTGGGCTTAAGCTTTGACTTAAGATTAGGCTTAGGCTTACAAGGAGTCGTTTTTAGGTGATATTGGAGTTTTTGAGCGAGACCTAGCTAGTTCGATAGAGAAAAAAATTCTGAGCAAGATGTCGTTTTCCAAATCTGCTAACCGTGTATTGTATTCGATAAAAATTAATTTGAAAATCAGTAATTTCGCCATCATTTCTCAGCTGATCCGCAGGTTTGGCTCGCGGGGGGTGCGCGTGAACATAGCCCCCTTCAGACCCTTGAACCACCGTGATCGCGTGGCATATTGGTAGTGCATTTGCCTCACAAGTTTTATCTTTTTTTTGCCTTCGGGTTCGACTCCTAGCTAGTGAAACTCTTTTGCTTTTTGCTCTGTGATGCTAAATATGGCCTCACCTCAATAGCATTAAAAACCAAAAAGCAAAACAGCTAATCAAAAAAAGTTCCGAACTCGCGAGCATAATTTTGTAAAAGTTTGATAGGCGCCTGCACTATCCACTAGGCCACCATCTCATGCGGATTCTGGTTCGCATTGCGGCCTATGTCCCGGGCCTGATCCCACTGTGGCAGCGTGGCGCCACGGAATTTTTTCATTAAAATTAATTTTTATCGAATACAATACACGGTTAGCAGATTTGGAAAACGACATCTTGCTCAGAATTTTTTTCTCTATCGAACTAGCTAGGTCTCGCTCAAAAACTCCAATATCACCTAAAAACGACTCCTTGTTAGGCTCAAACTTAGGCTTAAGCTTTGACTTAAGCTTAGGCTAAGGCTTCGGCTTAGGCTGTGAACCAAAACTTACAACAGCCGCCGGGTCGCCAGGCTTGGCCGCCGGCTTGCTCTTGGCTTTCTTGACGGAGCGCCGACCGGGCTCGTTGGGGGCTGGCGACGTTTCGGACTCCTTCTTCACCACGGGCTCCTCGGCTTTCGGTTTCTCGGGCTCGGATGCGGGGGCGGACGCGGACGCGGGCTTGGCCGGCTCGGGCTTGGGTACCTCGACGATGGCCGGCTGCGTGGCGAGACTCGTGTACTTGTTAACCTGCAAAAGTTTTGGTAGTAACCCTAGTTTTTGTCTGGTAAAATTCTCAAAGCATCGCTGCTAGCCTGCCTTCAGCGAGGTGAGGGGCTCGTGCTTCTTTTTGTCCTTCTTGCGCCGTCGGTTTTTGAGCATGATGAGGATGGTGTAGACGACCAGGTAGGTGCAGATGAACAGCAGGGTCACACTGCAAAGGTGAGGGTTTGTGACAGGTTCTTTAGGAAAGGGCAGGCTAGCAGAGATTCTTTAGGAAACGGGTAGGCTAGCAGTGACCTTTGTGGAACTCCGGGTGCTAAATTCACAGCACCAACCATAGCACCGACCATAGCACGAGGATGATGAGTTCTTCGACGAGGGTGAATCCGAGTGCCTCCGGTAATATCATTGACTACTTTTTGCAGAACGATTCTGAAAAATGGGTTAGATTGAAGCCTGAAGACGAAGCTTAAACCTAAGCCTAAGCCCAAGCTCAGGCCTAAGCCCAAGCCTAAGCCCAAGCCTAACCTAAGCCTAACCCGAAGCCTAAGCCTCATCAAGCTCAAGCCCCGCCTACTTCACCTTCCCCTTTTCTTTAAAAAACCCACAGATTAATTTTTGGACGGCTAGCCGCGCCGCGGGTTTCCTGAAAAGAACAACATCCACCGAATTAGATCTGAACCCACTTTATCAAAAGGGCAGTAAGTAGAAAATGACGATTTTTGTGCGTCTGCAACTACCGTAGCCTAGGATGCAAATGTCGTATGTAAAAGTTGAAGACTCGAATTAAGGTTGCGGAATATTCCGTACCAGATGGTTCCAGTCGCTTCGCGACTGTAACCATCTGGCCTTCGGGTTACCCTTGATGTAATACACCTAACTATCCACCTACTTCTACTAACTACCTAAATACCTTCCCGAAGGCTTTAGATACGCCCCCTAGCTGAAATCCCTTTCAAAAACTACCTAAATACCTTCCCGATGGCTTAAGATACCCCCCATGGCTGAAATCCCCTTCAAAAACTACCTAAATACCTTCCCGATGGCTTAAGATACCTCCCCTAGCTGAAATCCCTTTCAAAAACTACCTAAATACCTTCCCCGATGGCTTAAGATACCCCCATGGCTGAAATCCCCTTCAAAAACTACCTAAATACCTTCCCGATGGCTTAAGATACCCCCCATGGCTGAAATCCCCTTCAAAAACTACCTAAATACCTTCCCGATGGCTTAAGATACCTCCCATGGCTGAAATTCCCTTCAAAATCAACCTAAATACCTTCCCGATGGCTTAAGATACCTCCCATGGCTGAAATCCCTTCCAAAATCAACCTAAATACCTTCCCGATGGCTTAAGATACCCCCATGGCTGAAATCCCTTCAAAAACTACCTAAATACCTTCCCGATGGCTTAAGATACCTCCCATGGCTGAAATCCCTTCAAAATCAACCTAAATACCTTCCCGATGGCTTAAGATACCTCCCATGGCTGAAATCCCTTCAAAATCAACCTAAATACCTTCCCCGATGGCTTAAGATACCCCCATGGCTGAAATCCCCTTCAAAAACTACCTAAATACCTTCCCGATGGCTTAAGATACCCCCATGGCTGAAATCCCTTCAAAAACTACCTAAATACCTTCCCGATGGCTTAAGATACCCCCATGGCTGAAATCCTTCAAAACTACCTAAATACCTTCCCGATGGCTTAAGATACCTCCCATGGCTGAAATCCCCTTCAAAATCAACCTAAATACCTTCCCGATGGCTTAAGATACCTCCCATGGCTGAAATCCCTTCAAAAACTACCTAAATACCTTCCCGATGGCTTAAGATACCTCCCATGGCTGAAATCCCTTCAAAATCAACCTAAATACCTTCCCGATGGCTTAAGATACCTCCCATGGCTGAAATCCCTTCAAAATACAACCTAAATACCTTCCCGATGGCTTAAGATACCTCCCATGGCTGAAATCCCTTCAAAATCAACCTAAATACCTTCCCGATGGCTAAGATACCTCCCATGGCTGAAATCCCCTTCAAAAACTACCTAAATACCTTCCCGATGGCTTAGATACCCCCCATGGCTGAAATCCCCTTCAAAAACTACCTAAATACCTTCCCGATGGCTACAGATACCTCCCTAGCCGAAATCCCCTCCAAAAACAAAAATAACGACCGACCGGATGGAATGAGAGAAAAAAAGAAATGAAATCCTCCGTGAAAATTTTCATCCACGAAACGCGCGCGATCTGGCTCACTATGCGAAAATCATGCCAACCTCCGTCCCCCACCCCTTTTACTAAGGAAAAAACTTTCAAAGTTAATTTTAATAATTTAAACTAAAACTTTTTCATAATTTTTTTATCAGTTTGGGGGTTTCTGACGGCGCTCTATCCGAATCCGAAGAGAGCTAAGCTCTAGCTCCTTTCCCCTTCGAGTTGAATTCGGCTTCACACAGACGGACAGACGGACGCGTCAAGAAAATTATTATAGTTGATTATGCCATTTTCGATAATCGGCAAGCTAGCAGAGATCATTTAGGAAACCACCGTCCCCGGCGATGCAAATCTCCCGCGCGAAAAAGTAGGCCTAAATGCCAGTGAAAGGGGGGCGAAGCAGGAGATGGTGAGTTAGATATGCGGTCATTTTCTAGAGCTTTTCCCCCTTGGAATCCTCAATAAACTCTGCTAGACTTATTTTTTGCTCTATATTCGTTCTCGCTCTCTCTCTCTCTCCTAGAGTGGCGCTTATTCAAATCAAATCGACTTCAAATTGATTTGATTTGAATTAGCAAATTTGAGTGCAAAAAAATCAACTTCAAATCAAATCGATTTGATTTGAAATAGGGGCAGGCCAACTCAAATCAAATCGATTTGATTTGGGATTTGAACAACAGGCTTATCAGGGATGCAAATTGAAATTCGGCGGTTCGCAGGGCTTTTGGTAGCGCCGTTTCTGCACATTTAGGTGTCCTTTCGAATAATTCATGGGTGTTTCGATGACCTTTATATAAAATTGAGCCAGACGGTTTTATTTGTCAGATTTAGCCTGCGCTATGGTTTTTCTTTGCAAAAGCTCAAGCGTAAAAACAATAGGAAATGTATAAGGAATCGTTAAGTGGGACGCTGGAACAATGCTAAGAGATTATAGGGAAAAGAGCGGTGCACGAATTACGAGTTGCCTTGGGTTCCTTTCGATGAGATCTTATTCAAATTATTCAAATCGGCTGGATTTGATTTGAACTGGTGGAACTCAAATCAAATCGATTTGATTTGATTTGATCGGCTCCAATTCAAATCAAATCGGCTTGATTTGAAGAATTTGAATCTTATTCAAATCTGATTTGAATAAGCGCCACTCTACTCTCTCCCTCTCTCTCCCTCTCTCTCTTGCTTCCTGTATCTCTCGATCTCGATCTCGCTGTCTCTCTCATTCTCTCTCAATCATTCACTCGCTCTCTCTCTATCTCTCTGTCTCTCTCTTCCATTTCTCCCTCCCTCTCTCTCCCTCTCTCTCGCATTGCCAATCCATGTAATCCAATTATCCCATCCTTCGTGTTATGCAAATCTCAAACAACCGCAGGGCCGAAAACGAGCCCCACCCCGCGAAAAAAGCCGTAAATGACCGCCTTTATTGGCTATTCGGTAGGTCTGCGGGGCAGGGAGAGCTTTGAGCACGAGAGCGAGAGCGAAGGAGAGAGAGAGAGAGAGAGAGAGAGCCATCAAAACCGCACTACAGACAGAACTTCAGACGGCCCTCAAAGCGCACAAAACAGCTCGTTAAAAGCCGGC